TTCTGATACTGGGCTTCCAAAGATCTATGACTTTGGATAAACTCCATCATGTTGGATAAAATTTCTGCTAATCTTTGCTTCTTGTGTGTACAAGTCTTTTTGTTTGGCTTCTCAAAGATTCTGCTCACTGTGGAATTTTATTTAACTTCTGCTCCTTCTTCAGGTCTCCTGACCAACATATCCTTAATGTGTCTCTTACACCTCATTTTGTCTGACCTCTATATGCCAACACCTTTATTCAGCTTTGTTTACCTGACATTGTAAAATTTTATATACACCTATGGATGGCAACATTTTAAAAAACTTTTTATTGAGTTTATGGGTACATTTTAGGTATACATTATGATCACATTCATCATTGAAAATTTGTACCTGTACATGATATATCTTGATTCTTATTTTTTTCACATTTCCCTGCCCTCCCTAATGCATAAGCTTTGTTTCCGTTTCTGATGGCAACATTTTTATTTCAAAGTTTTTGTACTTTACTGTTGCAAAAGTAGGAAAATTTATGATGAACCATGTAGTAACATTATTAACTACTAAAGAAATATTTTGATTTTATTTTTTGGCTTTAAAGCCTTAATTTCAACAGTGCTTCATAGGTTGAACACTTAAATGACCAGCATAATAATAGGAAATTTATAAAATATGACCATTTCTGAAATCTAGTTTGGTGAAATCTATGGGATATAATTGCTGGTGAAACAAAGTAAAAGAGGCTGAGAATTACTGCAACTGTAACTTTGTTTCATTAATTTGTCAATAATTTTACTATGGAGACAAAAGCAGAATCTAAACATTCTCTCTGAAAAACATCAAAGGATAGACCATGTGCATCTGTACAACAGACTTAAAATAATTACTGAGTAACCAAATATATCCATTACCTTGTTTATCAACCAGAATAAACCATTTTTTCAAAAAAATTTAATGGCTTGTAATTCTATAAGTGAATGCACCCAGCCAAATAATTTTTCCACACCATAGGATGTTGGCAGGGGGTTATCTGAGGGTTCACCTGGGTTGGAACATCCAAAATGACCACTCACATGTCTGATGCCTTGAGTCCCACTGGAAAATTAGGCCCAGCTGGGTGCTGAAATACCTGAATCAGTCCCCACCCCCGGGGCGTGTGTGTGTGTGTGTGTGTGTGTGTGTGTGTGTCCGTGTGTCCGTGTGTGTGTGTGTCCGTGTGTGTGTGTCCGTGTGTCCGTGTGTCCACTTCCTCTATTACTGGCCGCCTTGACCTTCCTGTGATTTCTTGAGAAGACGCATGGCCTCTAGATTTCTTACATGATATCTCAAGCTACCGAAAGTAAAAAAGGAAACCCTTCTAAGCATTCTTAACTACCAGGAAAATAAAGTACTAAATTAATAATATTCAGGGTTTATAACAAACATCAACATTTTCAACATCAATTTTTTTTGTTTACAAAATCTAAAAAATAACAGCATAAATTCCTATATGAACTATGATGAAAATAAAAGTACAACAAAAATGATCTTTACTTCAGTTGTGACACATAAGGCAGTCTTCACACATAAAAATGGCATGTTCTGTATACAAGTGTCATTTATAGTGATAGCGTATGTGTTTTGTTTTCCTGTCTTATTTTTGGAGGACATACTTGACATCTCGCTGATCTTGCTATTTTATTATAAAGTTCTTTTGATGTTTTACCTGTCTCGTCACCGGTCTGCTCCAGAATTCTTTTATGGAGTTCTTTGGGCAGTATACTGTTCTTCCTCTGTTGTAATTGATCAATTCCAGTCCCAATCTGTCCATTACAAACAGTTTCCAACATTAAATCACAGTGTTGGCATTCCTTCCAATAGTTTTCACCCTGGGAAGAACCGAATAACATTTTCCGACCTAACTTGAACGTGACCATTTTGTAACATTTCGACTAATCAAATATTTATTTACATTATTGTTTTCTCTCTCATCTTAATGAGGTCTTCATTCTCTACTTCTTTGTCATTTCTTGCTCCATCTCACTCTCACAACTTTAGTTTATATGATCTGAGTCATAAAAATTTGTCTTCTAGGAAGTTCACTATAGGCTCTGCAGATCTGGCTTCAAAATCCTGTTACAAGCCGGGTACAGTCGGCCACAGGCCTATAACCTGAGCTGTTTGGGAAGCTGAGACAAGATTTGCCAATTCAAAGCCAGCCAAGGCAATTTAGTGAGACTCCATCTGAAAGTGTTGGGAATGTACCTCAGAGGTTAGGAGGAGGAGAGAGAAGGTAGTCTCTACTCTAAAAAAGATTTGCAACACAATAGTTTACCTTTCTAACATTCTGGCCGCCCCCCACCACCACCCGACCCCTTTCTCTTGACAAAAGCACCCTTGGGGTGAGATGCCGTGTGCTGTTCTGGAGAAAAGACAGTCTTTGGATAGGTCCAGCTACAACACTTATTTTTCATATAACTATGGGCAAGTCACCTACTCTGTCTGAGGCCAGGTTGTCTCATCCATAAAACAGGAACGGTACTTAACTTTCAGGGTAGTGCCAGGCCCTTAAGCACTTAGTAATGGTAGTGATTATCTTAGCTGGGAGCTATTCCAGCCCAGGCTCTCAGCCATTCTCATCTGTGGAGCAGCCTAGAACTGTCTGCAAAAGGAGCAAAGAAACAAAGCTAGGAACGTGGAAATGGAATCAGACAGTGTGTATTCTTTTTCATAAGGCTTCTTTCATTTAGTATATTTTGAAATTCATCTGTGTCTTAGGTAAGTAAATTCCATTATATAAAAACATCACAGAATATTCAGTCCTTCTGTAAGTGGACATTTACACTGTTTCCAGTTCTTGCCTATCATAAATACAGTTACTGAGAATATTCTAGAACAAGTCTTCCCTCTGCTCCTCCAGCTGAGCTGTCTTTGTAGGGGTGTATGCTTTCATTTCTCTCAAATACATACCTAAGAGTGGAATTGTCAGGTTCATAAGATCATCTTCATCGGTAGGTGAATCACTTGATGAATCACTTTCAACCTCCTTCCAAAGTTGTAAAAGCAGGTTTTCAAGTGATATTGTACTGAATTGGGCTAATTCTGTAAGAGAAATTAAAACAAAACATTTAATCAAAGTATAAATGCACAAAAATATAACATGGAGCATAAAGTGGTAAAACTCACCTATTGATGATTTGTCACATGTGCACATACCTTGCTGTTTGTCACACAAGTGGGTGAACACAAAGATCACTTCCTGTATTCCTCCTGTCATGCAGCTACTATGACACCCACCCAGCTAATATAATGCAAAAGTAAATTTTTCATTATAAAATTATGATCTGGGTATATTTCACCCAACCTTACTCATTAAGACTAGCCTACAGCTGTTTGAGAGCTGAGTGGGAAGAGAGAAAAATGGTAAGAAAACTTATTTCTGTGTTAAAGTGATAATGACCTAAAATGTCACAGATCCACTTAATGAGAAAGTGGCTGTCCCTAGTTGCTCAGAGACCCCACGGAAGATCATTGAAGAGAGAGACATAGAACTTTTTCATTTGGTCAGGTAGCTTAGTCAGAAGACCCCTTTGTAGTTTAGTGTAGGCTGCTGGTTTTCTTAAACCCTAAATGCACCTTCTCCCAGCCCTCTTGACATCCTCACCCAGATGTGCTCCTTGGTCATTCATGCTGAGAGATGCTGCCCTTGACCTGGAGATGCAGCCAAGATGGAGCAGTCAGACATGCCTCCCTTTGTGGAGCTTCTCATTTAGTGGTGGGGACCTGTAAAACAAGATAAAAATAGAATGTCTGTTACCGATAAGTCATCGGCAGAAAAAGCAGGAAAGGTGGGAGGAGGGCCCATGTTAAACGTGGTGGTCAGGTAGCATTTGAGTCAAGAGGACAATCATCATTGCCCAAAGGTGCCAGAGACTCTGAGGCGGGAACAGCAGTGTGTGGGAGGAATGGCAGAGCTTCGGTGGTGAAGGCCGGGCCTGTGCTACCCTGAAGCACACCACAGGATCTGACCTGGAAGTACAATGTTTCCTCCTGGCTACTGTGCTGATAGAAGACTGGATAGTAGCAAAAGGTAGCAGGGCAGTCTGTGAGGAGGCAATTCTGTAACCAAGTCAGGAAATGAATTTGGACAAAGACTTACCAGTTTATGGGCCCATTCAGTACCTAAAAATTGTGATGGGCTTTTTTCAGAGTTTTAAAGCCACTGTCATGACTCCTCCTATTAGAGTATTAATTTCCTCTGATTCTTGCCATTTGGGGATGTTTTTAAATACATTTCATTTCTCTGTCTTTATTCCCTTTTCTTTCTCCTGCTTAGTATAAATTATGAGATTCATCTCAAGAAGGTGAATATAGTAAATTATGTATAGTTTCTAGTGAATAACCAGGAAACTCCATAGTGTATGTGTTGCAGAAATCTCGGAAAGAAATACACAGAGACACAGAATTCGGATAAAATAATAAAATTTCTTCTCACGAGGGGATGGGAATGCCAGAAACCAGTCTGGTCCTTATCCGCACCCCCTTTGTTCAGCGTTTCCCTTTTTATGTCCTTTTTAGCCATTATCTCATCCCTAATGGTCTTTGATAAGTAAATACAATTCCAGTTCCTATTTACAAGTCACAGACACAAGATAGGCCATATACATTGTAAATTTGTTAGGTTAATGAAGTTACTGGTTAGAGTCAGATAATCCTCACCTTAAACAAGGAGTTACAGGAAAAGCAAATCTTAAAAGAACACATTACTTATTTTGCTTCTACAACTACCTTAATATTCAATCTATTAAGTTATCTAAAACTTTTCCGTATCATATGGAGATGCAAATATCTTTTAACACAAATCAAAGTAGTAGAATCACTGCTCTATAACACTCCAAAATACTAAGAAGAAAGTTCTATGAAATTAGTTACTACTCAAACTGGTAAAATTGTTATCAGAAGCTTAATTTCATTGCTCACTATAAGAGTTTATATGTAGACTTTATTTTTATACTAACAATCTTCTTTTTGAACTGAAATAGGAATTGCCTGAAAATCCATGGGGGAAGTTGTGTATTCATCTCTATTTTGATGGACTGTCACTTTCCTATTTTATGGCACACCATAAATATTGCAGTTTTGAATATTCTGAGGAGGTATTTAAAGAAGTAAGTGAACTTTTTCTATAAAAATTTGACTTAAAATGTCACATTTTGTCTTACACCTCAGGTCTTAAACATGATTCAACATACCTAACAGAGTCAGAGTCTAAGATGAGAATTTGTAAATTCTTTGTTGAACAAGCAATACTTTCTATCATACTTTATACATGTGCTGAAAAAGACTATCTACTTTAAGATTCTGTTACCAGAGTTTGGGGTTCTGGAGTCTCCTTCTTGAGGTGGTTTCTAGGGTTTGTTTTTTTTGTTCTGTCCTGAGCAAAGAATTAGTCAAGACAAGCACAAATGGTAACGAAGTTTTATTAAAGTTAGGAAAAGAAACAGGCTCTGCAGAGCGAGTTTGCGTCAAGTAAAAGTAGGAAAAGAAGTACACCCTGCAGTGTGAAGGTGAGCCACCATGAAAGAGAGAACATAGTGGCAGAAACTCAATGTGGACTGTCCTTTTTGTATCTTCCCCTCTTCAGGCTGACATCAGGTTTCGGCCATGCTATTGAAAACCTGCTTAGGTTCTCACGAGAAGTCCATGCGGGTTTTTGGGAACTGTTCTGTGCATGTGTCCTAGATTTTATAATTAAGAAGTCACACCTACTTCCCCAGCCAGCTTTGCCATACCCTAATGTCCCATCTCAATTCCATTAATGTTTTTGTCTCTTCAAACCTAATGAGACACTCAGATGTTAGTGACTTTAGAATAAGGGATGTACATTATAAAATCTGTATGGAATTTAGTGCCAGAAAAGGACTCTCTCCCTAGATAAAATGTTTTTTTCCTTTGACTTGATGAGAATTTGATATGTTACAGATTGAGTTTCCCTAATCTGAAAATACAAAATCTAAAAGTGTTCCTAAATTCAGAACTTTTTGAGTCTCAACATGACACTCAAAAAGCTTCAGATCTTGGACCATTTTTACTTTTCAGACTAGAGATGCTAAATCAGCAAAGTCTGTGTAAATAATATAAAATATTTGAAATTCTGAATTGCTTCTAGTCCCAAATATAAAAGAAACTTTTATAACTTTTCTCCCATTTGCCTTCTCACAAGAAATTCCTTGCCACATTTTGAGCTTAGATTCAATATATAACCCATTCCAGTTTCCTGTGCTTCCATTTTTAATATTTTAGATATAGTTTCACATTTCCTTTAGGACTAGCATATGCATCATAGTAACATTTTTATTTCACAGTTCACTTATAGGTTTTTTAATATTCACTTTAGTGATAATAAACAATGATACATTGAGTGTTGTGCTCAACATAAAAAGTTACTACTTTTTTTTTTTTTTTTTTGGTCCTGGGGCTCAAACTCAGTTGCTTGCACAGCAGGCGCCAGAACCACTGAGCTAAATCCCTGGCCCTTTAAACTATTATTGACACGTGTGTAGTTTTTATTTTAAGGATGCTTACAGTTGAAAGGTAAGTAATAAAATAGATTTTGCTGTGCTAATCTGAAATAACTAAATGAATGTCATCAAGTACATTGACCAATTTTGGAGGGGATGCAAAAAGTGCCTTACAACCGGTGCTATATGGCTCTAAGTGGTTTTACTCATTAATACTACTATATTATTTCAGAAACCAACAAACTATAAAAAATATGAGGAAGAAATATGGGAAATAAAATTTGAGGTAAGTCGAAATCTAAGTATTTTGGAGACTTTCTAGACACTCCATCAATAAAAAGATCGAAAAGATTAGGAAATAATTTTTATGTAATCTTTTTTTTTTTTTTTCTTGGTACCGGGGATTGAACTCAGGACCTTGTGCTTGCAAGGCAGGCGCCCAAACCACTGAGCTAAATCCCCAGCCCGGGAAATAACTTTGTAACAGCATTATTGAGACATTATTTGCATACTGGAAATTCACCTTGTTAAAATGTATAATTCACTAGTTTTTAGTATTACTCACCAAGTTGTGCAGTACCAGTAAATCTAAAGTACTCCTAAAAGAAACTCTGTACCAGCATCGGTCATTCTCCATTCTTCCCTTTCCCAGCTTCATGGTAACCTCTTAGACTCTCTCAGTGGCTTCATCTGTTCTAGGTATTTCATAAATGGAATCATACAATATGTGTTCCTTTGTCTCTGGTTTATCACTTGGCTTATTTTCAAGGTTCAAGCATGTTGTAGTACATAGTAGCAGATTATTCCTCATTATTGCCAAATAAAATTCCATTGTGTGGATATATTTTGTCTATCCATTCATCCATTGGTGGACTTAGCTTGTTTCCATCTTTTAGTGATCATAATGCTTGCTGTGAATGTTCATAAGCAAATTTTTATGTGGACATATATTTTTCTCACTCTTGGGTATATAACTAGGAATAGAATTACTAGGTCTCACAGTGACCATGTTTAACATTTTTAGAAACTTGAAGACTAGTTCCCAAAGTGGCCATACCATTTTACATTCACACCAGGAATAATGTATAGGGTTCCATTTTCTCTATGATCTTACCAACATTTATAATCTGACTTTTTTTCTAATGTGGGAAAAGGTAGTCTTTTCTGTCAAAGGAAATAATTAAATAATTCTATAAAAATAATTTTTATTATAAAAATCTATTTTTGTAAAACGTGCATGTGCTTGTTTCACCATTCCTTGGAAACTTGGAACAAAGGGACTAAATGCCTGTCCACCTGCCATAAAACTTTGCAACAAAGGGCTTTCTGGATCACAAATCTTACTTTGCCTAGCAATCATGACCTCATTAAACTCGATCAATCCAGTTAGATTGCGAGGCCATGTTCCCACCAGTAGAGTAGGGCACAGTGACCACTGCATATATGGCTTAAAGGATAAGATGCAGACAAACCAACAGCTCAGTGTGCCTGCCCCTTGCTGACCTTTGTCTGGCAGCTCACCCTTCTGCAGAAGTAAAGTTCACCTTGCCAAAATCTTTTCAGAAACGTTTTTTTTTTTCCCCATTTGCAACACAGAATTCATCTCCAACACTAGCCATCCTAGGACGTGTGTAAGATTTTGAACCACATGTCACTGATGATAAATTATTTTGAACATCTTTTCATGGGCTTATTGGCCATTTATATATTTTCTTTGGATAGACCTATTTAAATTCACTGCCCATTTTTAGATTATCCTTGTTGAGTTGTAAAAGTTTTTTGCACATTCTGTGTACTAGTCCCTCTCTAGGTACATGACTTACAAGTACTTTTTTCCCCTCATTGGGTTATCATTTCACTTTTTTTGTTTTTTTGAGTTTTTTGGTACCTGGGGATCAAACTCGGGACCTTGCGCTTGCGAGGCAGGTGGCGGCACCACTGAGCTAAATCCCCGGCCCCAAACTTTCATGATGGTGTCCTTTAAGCACCAAAGTTTTACTTTTGATGAAGCCTGATTTATCTGTTTATTTTATTTTGTCACTTATTTTTTTTGGCATAGAATAAGTTTTAGTAAGTTAAACTTTATTAGTAAAATTTAATTTCTATGATTATAAAAATAATCTATGCTTCTTGTAAAAGCACACACTTTGTAACAAATCAATAAACTTTAACAATGGGTAGTTACATTTCCCTGAACTTTCTCAGATTCAATATTTGTTTTGAGTTTTGCACTCAATTTGGAAACTAATCTACAAATTTGAATATGATAGCTTCACTGCTTATGTTAATTACCATAGTATTTTTTTTAACTTTCAAAAAATACTTCAGAATCTGAGGATGTACCTAAATAGTGAAGTGCTTGCCTAGCAAGTCCAAAGCTTGCTCTGGGTTCAATCCCCAGTACCAGTAAATAAATACATACAGAAGTGTTTAAGATGTTGCTAATCTTTGCAGAAAGCTGTGCACCCATGTGTTTATACAGTTTTTACCTACTGCCTGCCCTATCCTCTGGCAAAGCACATAATTTTATAGTTTTCTTTATGCTTTTATAGATCTTAAGAATTCACCTTTTGTGTGTGTGTATGTGTGTGGTGCTAGGGATTGAACCCAGAGTCATGAGCACTATGTCGCTTAGTGCCAGTGCTCTACTACTAGGCTATAACCCCAGCCCTTCTTTTGTTTTTGAGATAAGTTCTCACTAAGTTGCCTAGGCTGGATGCAAACCTTTGATCCTCCTGCCTCAGCCTTCTAAGTAGCTGAGATTATAGGCACGTGCTACCACACTTAATGAGAACTCACCTTTTTTATTATTTCAACTTAATCCTCCTTTGGCATTTCATGTATTATTGTAGTTTTTCTTATAAAGTCATTACCTAGTCTAAAAATAAGTGAAGTGCTACAGATATGTGTAAAGGAAAAAGGAAATGGCCCCCATCCTGCACCTCAGTCCCATTCATTAGTGACAATTACTGTGGCCATTCATTAACTGTTCTTAAAGAATTTTACGTGCATATGTAGATATATGTACATCAGTAAACATGTCTTTTTTCCATATTTTTTTTAAATTGTGGGACATAAGAATCCTGATAATTGTCATCGCATTTTGGTCCTATTACTCTAAATCATTTTGTGGTAGTCATTATGTAGGAGAGCTTGCTTTCTGCCAGCTGGAATTAAGTTGACACCATAATGAAGTTTTAGAATGTAGTCATTTTTTTAAATGTCATTCTGAAATTTGAATTTCTTTGTGGTGTTTTAGGAATTACTTTTGTCTGAAATGGAGACTCCTATTTTACAATCATATTTGTCTTCGTCCCTGCCTCCGCCAGAAGGACTGTACGCTGTTCGAGTGAAGCACATTGTCTCACCTAATGAAGTATGTATGCCATGCAGGTGCTTAGTTGGTGGTTCAAAATCATAGCATTATCTGGGTCTTAAATACTAGGATTGACTCCTCATTTCTGTCTTCCTGGATTGTAAATAATGGAAAATTAGTGACCTCTGGTTGGTGATACCTTAGAATTTTCTTTTTCTTTTTTTTTTTTTTTTTGGTACTGGGGATCGAACTCAGGTCCTTGCACTTGCATAGCAGGCAGCGAAACCACTGAGCTAAATCCCTGGCCCAGAATTTTCTTTTTCTTGAGACTGGGTCTCACCAAGTTGCCCAGGTTGGCCTCAATTTGTAATCCTTCTGCTTCAGCCTCCCAAGTAGCTGGGATTACAGGCGTGGGCCACTGTGCCTGATTCCCAGCATTTGTTATACTTCACGAGGCAGATGTTTCTTTTTTTATGTTTTTATTAGTACATATTAGCACCGCATGCAGTTCACAGTCATCTTGGGGAGTTGGTATAGGTACATAATACAACTTGTTTCTTCTTTCAGTCCTCTTCCCCTTCCCCCTCCATCCCCTCCCCCCACCCCCTCCTTCTTCCTTTCCTTCCCCTTCCCCATCTTTGTTGATGTTACTGATCTTAGCTCACGTCTGTGACATAATGATCTTGACATCCACTGAGGTTATTGGATTCCTGTACACGGTGTCTCTGCAGTCCCTCTCCCCTCCCCCTCACCCCTCACCGTTCCCATTTGTAAGGGATCCTTCCCCTTGACTCCTTCTGTCCATCGTTTATTATTATTTTTGCTTGCACGTCAGCTTACTCAATGAGAGATACCATGTGGCATTAAGCTTGTGAGTCTGGTTTATTTAGGCAGATGTTTCTTTTTGTTTGTTTGTTTGTTTTTTGGGTACCAGGGATCGAACTCGAGTTCTTGCGCTTGCAAGGCCGGCGACGGAACCACTGGGCCAAATCCCCGGCCCAGGCAGATGTTTCTTAAGCACCTGTGAGCTTCCTCTTGTCATCAGCCTTTATTCACGGTTACAGTTTACATCTGTCACTTAGATTTTTAGGATGTAACTGTTTCCCTCTATAAAATATTTTTAGTTTTTATCTGTTTTGTTTCCAGTTTATGAAGTCTTAAACATCTCTCTCATTGTTCTCCTGCACTGAGCCCTGATGCTCTCCACCCTGCTCTGTTTTTCTGTACCACTTGCCACCTTCCTCTCCCTGCAGTATGATGATTGGCTGTCTCCTCCCCTAGAAGCGAACCCCGTGAAGATAGGGTTTCATCGGTGTTGTTCATTAACGCACCCCAGATTGAGAAAGTGCCTGACACTGAAGTCACGTGCTGTGAATATTGACAGAGGATGAATGAATGCATTAAAGAAGATCAGCTACATCCCTTGACCAACAAAAGAGAAAGTGACAAGCAGCATCGGCAGCTCCTTTAGCCTTCTATACAGTACACCAGGGTCTGGAAGGCAAGCTTGGCGAGGACTTGCTGCCTAATTTCATCAGAGAGCAGCCATAGCATTGTACAGCTGTTGCTGGGCTTTATGATTTTTTGTATTATCTATTGTGATAGAACAGATTACCCGAAATGTAGCATCTTAAAGCAACACACATGAGGTTCAGGAATCCAGGAGCTGCTTAATTAACCCTAACTCATGTTCTCTCAGGCCGAAGTGAAGACAGTAGGGACTAGAGAATCCACTTCCCAAGCAAGTCACTCGTGATGCCTCCTGGGCCCTTGGGTGGACTGCACGTGCTCTCTCCACCACCGCGAGTGCCGCGAGACGGAAACGAACCGTCTGTTCCTTACAGTCCGGTCTCCCCATCACCAACCTCCACTTCCCTGGGGTGCACGCGGCCCCAAGATCAGCACAGTGGGACGTGGGAGGGTAAACAGCAGAAGGGAGAGAACATTGGAAGCCGCCTACCACAATAATTTGGTCCCCGTGAAGTGAATATTAGAAATAACAGAATTTGAAAGTGTCTTTCTTCCCTTTCGCCCACTTAGGTATATATTTGCCTTGATTCTATAGAAAACTGTAATCAGTTTAACCATCATAATGGCACAAATGACAATCAAGTTAGCTCGGAATCAGAATCAGAGAGCCTTGAAGAAGCATTGCAGAGGTTTAATAAAATTGTAAAGACGTTTCTTCCTCTGACAGATTTTAGAACAGGTATACTTTTTTTAATGAAATAGTATGCTTAGTAAAACTTTATTTTTTTTAATGGGCTAGGGAGGTTTGGTTATTTCTAACAGTAACGGGTATTTTCCTCAGACTCACTCTATTTCTTTGAATCCTAAAGATACCCTGGGCTAGTCTTCTTTACATTTTTTAGATTAGGAATGTGAACTAATAGAAGTTAAATACCTCCTGGGACACTTTCACTTTCCAAAAATCAGGGTGTGTTACAAAGTTGATTGCATAATGCATAAGGATTATTTTATATGCTTGAGGTTTTACTGCTAGTTCAACTTGTGAAAGTTGTCATTCAGATCCAAATGGCAGTAATTAATTACAGACCGCCCAAAGCTGGTTGAGGTGGGGGCTCAGACTATGTCTTTTTTTTTTCTTTTGGTACTGGGGATCAAACTCTGGACCTTGCACTTGCGAGTCAGGCATCAGAACCACTGAGCTAAATCCCTGGCTCAGACTATGTCGTGGTCTATGAGGATAGATGAAATTCTTTTTATTCCCCAGTCCATTCTTCCTGTCTTTATTAAATGTTTTGCTTAAAAAAAAAAATTTGTGATTCGCTTCTGAGGAAAATATATCTAGTTGCTGGTATTGATAGTTCCTGAAGTACATGTACGGTCTTAATACATAATACGTTGATGTATATTACTGTTGTATTTTGCACATATCAAAAGATACTTTTAGGAAAGAAAAATACATTAATCTAATGTCTTACCTGATTTTATTCATTGAAATGGCTTTTGTTTTCTGCTTTGTTTAGAGTTTTGGTTGTTTGGATTTGTTTTTTGAGACTCATTATGTAGTCCAGACGGGACTCCCACTTGTCAGCCCTGCTCAGCCGCCCGAATGCTAGGATGATGGGTGTATGCCACCACACTCAACTTCAGGGAGATTTTAATTAGCTGTAACCTTCTTTTAGCTGATAGGTAGTTATGGTCCCTTCTGTTTGGAATCCTCCCTTTGCCCTGTCCCATAATTTACATCTCTGCTCAACATTACCTTTATTGCTGGTGTTCTCTGACCTCTCTGTCTTCAGCAGTATCACCTCCTTGTCCCTGCACCCCCCTCGACTTTTAAAAGTAGTGCTGTGACCAAATGACTCTAGTGGTCACCAGCAAGTAGAAGGACACCTGGCACAAGGAGATCCTCATAAATATAAAATGAATGAGAGAATACACTATGAGGTAGGGCTTTTTGTACACTGATTTATAGTGTAGAAGCAACATTTTCTTCCTCATTTTTATTCATATCTCAAAGAAAGTGACACCATTTGTGCATAATGTAATCTGTGGACCCACACATGCATTATTTGTGTATTTTATAGGTAATTTATACTTCAGAAGTTTTAAAAATTACATATATGGTTAAATTCATTCATAGGTATGTTTACTGAGGAATTTATATTGAAGTTTTTGCGGGTTAAAATGAAAATTAGGTGTTGGGAGTTTTAGATTGTATTTTGAATAGACAAAATGTGAGCTGTGTTTTTAAGGCTAGAAAGGTAAAAACTGGAAGGGACTATTAATAGTGATTCAGTTATTTACTATGCAGAACAGCTCTGTTAAATGAGATGCTTCCCTGTTCTTTTTGTCACATAAGAATGTATTTGGGGTTTAACAAGAAATCAGACAAATAAAATTCGTATAAACACACATCCACACTAAGTCATAACATAGTAAAGGAAAAAGTAAAAACAAAGAACTAGAGCAACAAATGACTAGTCTTTAGGGTTTTCCTGCAAGGTAGATTTCTTTGGCATCTCCTTTTTCTCCAGTGTCCTCCCCTTTATTATAGCTGGTAATTATTCTGATGACTGACACCCCCTCAAGATGCCTCGCCCTAAGTGCTCTGTTGAACACTGTAGCATATCCCTGTGCATATCCATAGTCCCCATAGCTATACCCAATATAATCATATCTTCCATAGCCACTATAGTTTTGACCATAGGCACTATTGTAATTTTCATATTCTTGCTCATAATAGTTATTAAATCCTTGGTTCCAACTTTACTGTTCTATTGATGACTTTATATTTTCAAGAACTCTTTAATAAAAATTCATTTGAGAGGCTAGGGGTGTAGCACTGGATTCCAATCCGCAGTACTACAAAAAAAAAGGAAATTTAAAAAATATCATTTAAAATAAAAATCTTTGTAGCCAGGTGTGGTGTCACATACTTGTAATCCTGGCACTTGGAAGGCTGAGGCAGGAGGACCACCTTGAATTCAAGACCAGCCTGAGTTACGTAGTGAATTCAAAGGTAGCCTGGGCTATACAGCAAGACCTTATCTCCCAAAAAAAGAAAAAAAATCTTTGTATGTTAGCAGAATATAGTATTTTGATGTAACTTACACAATTTTCTTGTGGAATCATGTAGATTTTGATGACATGAGAGGGGAAAGGAGACAAAATAGAATAAGACATGAAACTGAGCCATATTCCATCTAGTTTGAAATTTAGCAGGTTGGGAAGAGAAAGAGAATCCATACTATACTGCTTTTCCCAGTTTTCCTCACCATTCATTAGCACTTTTTACCAAGCACTTGCTTACACCAGGTATCACATTGGAAATACAAATCACAATTCTTTGTGATTTTACTTTTTTTTTGGTACCGGGGATCGAACTCGGGTCCTTGCGCTTGCGCAGCGGGCGGAACAAATCACAATTCTTGACAGCAAGTGGGCAGGGAAGAGCCAGCTCAGTAAAGGTGTACGGTGAATGCCACCAGGTCACAGATGAAGCAGAGCTTCGTTAGCAATGAGGCCTTTCTAAGGTCTCGTTGGGGCTGACCTTTGAAAGGAGAGTAGGTGTTAACCCTAAAAAGGCTCGGGACAGAGGGAGAGAGGGGGGCAAACGTGACAAGCAGAGGCATTAAGCTCTTATTATTTTTACCAAAAAAATAATAAACTTTTAGTGAATTAAGAGAAACTATTTGTATGAATGAAAGCATATATTGAAATATTTTTAAAACAGTAAAATATGTAATTTGGGCAAGTATTTGAACTCCTCCCTGCTTCCTATTTATCTCTCTTACACCTCACTCCCTCTCTCTCCATAGATAGATATAGTTTCTCATCTAAGAGAAATGGTGTCATATTTGAGTTTGTGTTTGACTTATTTCACATAACATTATGTTCTTAAATTGCACCCATTTACCTATGGATGCATGAAGTTTATGGCAGCACATTACTCCATTGTGTGTAAATCCCATTTTCCTTATTTGGCATTATGATTTTAAATAATTGCGTTGACATGTGTAAATACCAAATAGTTACTCTGGTGTGAGAAACTGAAAGTGTAAATAAGGACTAAAGGTATAATAGGTAATGTGAAATAGGAAGAAAAGGGGCAAAGGGGAAGGAAGTGGGAGGGCTAGGGGAAAGGAAAGAAGGGAATGGAATTAATATGAGAAAATGAAAAACAAGGAAACAAGGTCTTTGTAAATAGGGAGGGATGGAGGGGTTGAAGGGAGGGCAGGGGAATGGGGAAAAAATAAGAACCAAGAGAGACTATGTAAAGGTGCAAATTTCCAGTGATGAATGTCATTATATTGTATACCTAAAATGTACCGATAAAAGGACACACAGTTAAAATAATTGTGTTGAGGTAATTCATGAAGATGATGCCGTGTTTGGGAAGACTGAAGCCTGTAAACTGTAGTGCTGGGGAGTTGGTACGGCAGGCAGTTAGGATGCCATTGAATAATTAAGAGCAATGTATCTGGATTTTTAAAATTTAATACTGGTGGTTTTACAGAGAGTGGACTGAAAGAAGACAGAATGGAAGGCAGGGACTGCAAACTGTACTTATTATCCTTTGCAGGTGATAACCTGAGGAGGGGTTGAGAGTTTGAGAAGGGGAACTGGTGGCATGATGCCCAGAGCCATGGAAGTAAAACTAGGAACTCCATGGATGAGAAGGTGCCTTCAGAGCTTAATGCTTAGGATGAGTAAAGAACTGTTCAGTATTAATTTTAGGTGGTTGAATATATGATTGTTACATTGACTTCTTTGTATTATTCTGTAAGACTCTTTAAAAAAGGATAATTTTATTCTTTTCCCCCTTTTTGCCTCTTTAGAAATGCCTTGCCTTGCAGAATATGCTGATGGCTTATGGTATAGAGCAAAAATTGTTTGCATTAAAGAATTTAATCCTTTATCTCTCCTGGTACAATTTGTTGATTATGGATCAACTGAAAAGTTGACACTAAACAGGTAAAGAAAAGGTCACCTGAATAAGGATTCTTAGTTCTGTTTTAGCATATTTTTTTGTCCTTTATTGGGAAGATTTTTACCTTTTAAAAGAAAAAGGCTATGTTAAAGCTGTTTCTGTATTAGGAATTTTTAAATCTACACTTTTTGTGCGGAAACATAAAATTTACCATTTTAGATAAGGTACAGAGTTGATTTTAAGTTCCAGTGTTGCACAACTGTCACCACTTTCCATTTCCAGAACTTTCTCGTTGACACGTTCTGACAGGGCTGTAATCTGTGTGTCTTGCTGCCCGATGGGACAGTCACGCATGTACCCCTGGTGCTTCAAGCTGGCAGGAATGTGTTCATCCAGATAGAAACCCAGTAACCATTAAAGGGTGGTATTTCATTCCATCCTCTTAGCCCTGTCATCTATTTTCTGTCTCTAGGAATTTGTTTATTCTGGGTACCTCATATTTAAATAACATCATGCAGTATTCACCCTTTTGTGACTGGCTCATTTCACTCAGTGTTTCCAAGCTTCATCTGTATCATGCAATGTGCCAGAATTTCCTTCCTAAGGCAGAATGACACGGTTTTTTTGTTTGTTTGGTTTGGTACTGGGGATGGAACTCAGGACCTTGAGCTTGCCAGGCACGCGCGGTGCCACTGAGCTCCATCCCCAGCGCCCCCCCTTTTTTACTAGTACATGCCTGCAGTACATAATGATTACATTCATCATGGGGCATTGGTACATGTGCACAGCACAAATTCCTTTTTATCCTCTTCCCCTTCCCTCTCCCACCCTTCCTTTTTCTCTTGGTCCCCTTCACTTTTGCAAAAGTTTGCAGCTCTTAATTAACAAATATATGTGGAAATTTTTTAAATTTTTCACTAAGTTTATTTGTACAACTTAGATATACGTAATGATCACATTCATATGGAATTTGTACCTTTACATGATTTTTCCCCATTCCCTTTCCCTCCCTGTCTTATGTGTAGACATTTTATTTATCCATTCAGCCATCAGCAATGCTTCAGCCTTTTGCCGATCGTGAACAATGTTCCTAGGAACATGTGTGTATAAAGTTCTATTTGAGACCCTACTTTGTTATTCTGGGCATATCACCAGAAATGGAAATGCTGATTGTATATTCCACTTTTAGTTTTTAAGAAATGTTTTCTATAGTAGCTGCACTACTTCACACTCCCACCGACAGCACTTGAGGATTCGTTTTTCCATATTCTCACCAATTATTTTTCCCAGGGTGTGGGGGAGTGTCTTGATAGTTACCATCCTAATGAATGGTATTTCACTATGAATTTGATTTACATTCCCTAACAGATCGATGGTGTTGAGCCTTGTGGCACTTTTTTTTTAACCCCTTATATATCATCTTTAGAGAAATGTTCATTTTTAATGTATTTTCTCTCATCTGCAGTCTGCCTTTTCACTCTGTTGTCTTTTAGTACACAGAAGTTTTTAATTTTGAAATCCATTTCATTTGATTTCTCTTTTGTTCGCTGTGCTTTTGATATCATAACCAAAGAAAATCATTACAAAATCCATCATGAAGCCTTTCCCTTATATTTTCTTCTAGGGGTTTTAGTTAGGAGAAAATTTGAATTGACATTCTGAACATTTTAAGAATTTTTTTTTTTTTTTGTAACAGACTGCGTCAGATTCCTCTTTATCTTATGCAGTATCCCGCCCGAGCCATAAAGGTTTTCTTGGCAGGGTTTAAACCTCCCTTAAGGGACACAGGAAAGACAAGAATACCATACTGTCCCAAGTGGAGCATGGAGGCGCTCTGGACTATGATAGACTGTCTTCAAGGAAAACAGCTTTATGCTTCCTCCATGGTAAATAGTGTTAATTAGCCAAAATCCTTTTACAGATATTTTCACAGTACCTATTAACTTTTAAAGTGGTATGTAACTGTGCAACTCTACATGGGAAAAAAAAAACAACACAAAGCTATTTTTACTATAGGAATAAATTTGAAAGCTTTTTAAAGTGTTTTCATTTATTTTTAACAAACTATATTAATCCAAGGGTGATGATAAGATTAAATGATCAAGATATACACAGCACCAGGCATGGTATCATACACCTGTAAACGCAGCACTTGGGAGGCTGAGGCAGGAGGATCACCATTAAGTTTGAGGCTAGTCTGGGCTACATAGTGAGTTCAAGCCCAGCCTGAATTACATAGTGAGACCCTATCTCAAAAAAAAAAAAAAAAAAGCACTGTATAATCTAAGAATTTGTAAGTCAATGGAGGGAAACAGGCATACCAACCACTAACACAAGGTAGAATGAAGTATTACGATAGAGGTATAGGTAACTTTGTGAGGTGGGAGGAGTGAAAGAAGGAATGAGTATTTCCATCTAGAGGGAGCTGGAAATGGTATTTGAGCAGTTTCTTAGTAGGCACTGAAATGACTAAGTAGGAAATGCCGTCTGAGCTGCATCCTGAAAGATGAGTAGGAAACACCAGAACAGGAGTTATGATCATAGGAAAGCTTGAATTGTAATGTTAGAACTTGTATCAAAACCCCAGACCCAGATGGTTTAAACCTTTCTTCTTCCAAATCTTAGCATGTGTGGAATGTGAAGACTTTAACAAGGAGGATGATATTAAAGCCCACTGGCTATACCCAGGAGAACTTTGATGTTTAATTATAGTTTAGAGTGAAAGAAATGAGATTTAGCAGGAAGCTATCATAGGTGTCCTTTGGAAATAAGAGTATAAATTAGGGAACTAAACCTGGAGAATGCCTTTTCCCTTTTGTGTGAATGGCCAGATTTCAGAAGGAAAGGGAAGCAAAGACATAATTGTGTTTTCTTGACAAACTGTATCTTTCAATTCTAGGCTCAGGCACCAGAACAAACAGTAACCTTATATGAAGATGAACAGTACCCAGTTCATATGCCATTAGTAGAAATGGGACTTGCAGACCAAGATGAATGATGTAAGTATACATTCTTGTCCACTTTTTTGGTCAGCACAAGGCATGGGAGTGTTACAGAAAAGGTCAACCCTAAATAAAAGCACCTGTGCGTTTTCCTTGACTTCTCAAAGGAATGATGACAAAGCTCTGCAAGAATCTTCCAGATTTCTTCTTAGGTCCTTCTCACTGCTGAGTAACCAGTATCAAAGAGGCCTCCTATCTGTAAGAATGCTGGAAATGGGTTTTGTGACTGTCTTGGTACCGAATGGGGGAGCAGGACAGTGGGTATCACGAGTAATTAAGGCACATGAATATGTGGTATACAATAGAGCTACTCAATAGTCAGCAGTCTGATAAAGTTATCAAAGCACTGGGGTGACAAATACAATTCCTTCATGTAATTCTAACCATTGACTCAGCAACTAAGGAACATTAAGCACAGTAGCGCTTTATAAGTAACTTCTTTTTTTCAGGTATACAGAGCAGAGCATCTATAGCAACCCAGAAGAAAGAATGCTGTATTTAGACCTTTTCAGGCTGTTTTCTTGACTTATTCTACAATGGTGCTGTTCTTTTCCACCCTAATTCTTACATGTTGAACTGTTCAGAATGTTGTGAGAAAAATCACAAGTTAATAAATATTTGCTTTCAAACATTTTTTATTTTGCGGTATTTTCAAAATAAAATAGGTCAGGCACTTTTTTATTTTGGCAGTAGTGAGGGTTGAACCAGGGCCTTCACACTGAGCTACATCCCCAGCGCCCCCCCCCCCCCGTTTTGGTACTGGGGACCTTGCACTTCCAAGGCAGGCAGAACCACTGAGCTAAATCCCCGGCCCCTCCCCAGCCCTTTTTTATTTTTTGAGTTAGGCTCAAATTTGCAATCCTGCCTCAGGCTCCCAAAGTGCTGGGATCCCAGATTTGTGTCACCAGGCCCAGCTTAACTCATAACTAATGATTTGGCTTAAGAAATGATGTTGGGTGAACTTCCCAGAGAGATGTGGAAGACGCGTCTGCCTCCCAACTGGGGGGGGGGGCTGACAGCCCCACAAATGACTCGGAGGAGTCCAGCTCGGTGAGTGAACGAGTTCAGTAGGGGTCACCTACAGGGACCACTTGCAGGCTGCAGCACTACCAAAGTTGCTGATCTCCTTGTGCTAAATCACTGCTATTATAGAACGCTATTAAGATGGTAAAACTAGGGTCGAAAGCAGTAAGGGTCCTGAGGAAAAGCTGTGGGTGCTGCACTCCCATCCCGGCCTCAGGAAGCACTGTCTAGCCACCATGGTGGATGGCCTTGCACTGCACTTGGTGCACAGCCTCCACACCTGGCGGGGCTGTTGCAGAATGGGAGTTGCTCTGGCAGGGTTTGGAGGACAGTTCTCACCAGATGGCAGCCACAAAGGCCCTGCGGTGCTGCACCCCATCACATTCTGCTCCCTGCCTGAGAGAGGTGAGCAGTCTGTACAGTTTCACTACATATGAATGTGTCCACGATACATAGTGTTGCTGTGTGCATCTTTACCTGTGTGAGGTATGTTTCTTATTTTATTTGTACTGTTTATCTGTGTTCATGTGTATAGCTCTTTTACTTTGACTGCTGTATCTTTTGTAATTTAGGTGGTTACCAGCTTTTTTCTCAATTACAAATATTCTACAGGGCCCTTATAGATGTGTGACTCTCCTGTGTACACATAAATATGTATGTATGCATGTATATGTGCATGTGTACCTGTATTAGTGGAATCTGATGGTTCATGGAGTAAATACTTTCTACAAAGTAGTAAGCAGTTTACCACCAGTTGTCTGAGTTGCTTACCAGCATGTGATACAACCAGACCAGTGTCAGACTAGTGCCAGTCTGACACCAGGATATCTCATTGTTTTAATAAGCAAACACTGACTTATTAATGCTAGTGAATGTTCTGTCACTTTACTGCTTGTTCATATCCTTTCTCTATTAAATTGTTTGCAATTTTACTTGTAGTACTTCTGTATATATTCTGGATAGTAAACCTTTGCCATCTTGCAGTTATTTATCACTCATTTTTTAAGGCTTGTTTTATATCTTATTTAAAAATCTTTCCCTATCCTAAAGTGTAATACATATCCTCTTTTCTTTGAAAAGTATTAAAGTTTTTTCATATTCATTTTTTAAGCACATGAAATGATTAACTTTTTATTTCTTTTGGTAGCAGGGATCGAACTCAGGACCTCACGCTTGCTACGCAGGTGCTGTGCCACTGAGCTACATCCCCAGCCCAAAATTGATAACTTTTTAACTGAGTCCTTATCAATACTTATTGCCTTAATTTACAGTAGGTGACTTGCCCTTCCTTCTAGGATGCCTCAACTTCTGTCAGCCAAGAGCCCTATTGGTAATAACATCAAAGTAGCTGGGGCCATGGGTTAACACTAGATAGTTACTACTCATGCCCACTCTTACTGTACAAGTTATATACAATCAGCCTTGTTACAACTTTTCTCCTGTCCTAGAAGTAGTAGGATTATTACCACTACTACCTGTAGCACTGTTTGACCTGTTTGTATTCATTCATTTTTGTAACTTCCCATTCTATTACAATTAATCACCCCTATAACAGATCAATGTTTTCATTTTGGTACCAACTAAACACAATACTACTTTGGGTAGAGTGACAGTCACTGATCCCTTGAGTACCCTTTCTGTGGAAGTGCATATTCTCTGACTACTGGGCCTGTGGGATGTCTGTGATGTATTCCTTGGTTTTCATAACCATAGCCAACCAAAGACACATCGTTTAAAAACCCTACACACATTCACTGCTGCGCAAGCGCAAGGACCAGAGTTCGATCCCCAGTACCAAAAAAACAAAACAAACAAAAAAATCCTACACACAGTTTATGACAAAATAATACTTTCTTTAATCTAGCTGTAGAAAAACAGGAGAGGTGAATTATAAATGCATGTCATCCTTGTGTATTTCAAAGAATACAATAATGAAGCTTTTCTAGTCAACTTTTATTTTAGAATCCATCTCTGCCATTTAGACACACAGAGGCTATATAAATTAAACAGAATCCACAAGAATTGTACCTTTTTTAAAACAGGAAAATCAGGGGCCGGGGATTTAGCTCAGTGGTTTCACCGCCTGCTGCGCAAGCACAAGGACCCGAGTTTGATATCCCCGGTACCAAAAAAAAAAAAAAAAAACAGGAAGATCAGGTAGTGTCACTTCATGATCAATCACACTGGAGCATTACAATTCTGAGTCCATGAGAACATTACCATCTTTGTCCTTAACTCTCACTCGGCCAGACGCATACTTTGTTTCTTGATGACCATTTGTATACACAGTTTTAACAGTGCCATCTGGATATTCCCGTCTCTTGAACTGTGCAGTATGAAGTTCTCTTTGGCCATTATTAAACTCTATAATTTTGTTGCCATCACTGTAAAATTTAAAATAGAATTTAAATTCTTAAAAATATGAAGTAGGGCTGGGGGCATAGCTGAGTGGTACAGCACTTGCCTAGCATATGTTAGACCCTAGGTTCAATCCCCAGCACAGGGAAGAAAAATATAAAACAGGAAAATTATTTGAAAGTAACCTTTTGATTCTGGCTGTGTTATTCTCCTAGAGACATCTCTTGGTCCTTTTCCCTCTACAACTGCAAATTCTTTGTACAGTGTTTGTGCTTTAGCCCAATAACCCAGTTATCAGATTAACATCTACATGTACCCATGAAAAGCTTTTTTACATAAATTTACTTTTAAGTTTAATTAAAATGGGGGTGGGGGTATAGCTCAGTGGCGCAGCACCTGCCTGCTGGCAAGCACAAGGCTCTGAGTTCAATTTAAATAAAGGTGGGGATGAGAAAACAAATGTAATCATGGTAGCACACGCCTATAATCCTGGTACCGTGGGAGGCTAAAGTCAGAAGGATCACAAGTCTAAAGCCCAGGCTTGGCAACTCAGTGACACCCTGACACAAAATATTTCTTTTTGGGTCGGGGTTAGTGGCACCATGCCTGTCCTAAGTTTGATCCCCGGTACCGCAAACAAAAAAAACTTTTTTCCAATTTTTTAATTAGTACATGTTTGCAGTACCTAATGATTACATTCCTTGTGGGGAGTTGGTGCGTGTACGGGACACATCTTCATTCTTTGTTTCATCCCCTCTCCCTATCCATCTCTTGGTCCCCTTCCATTTTGCAAAAATCTCCCTATTTCCTATTATCTCTTATTTTGCTCTTATATTTATCTGATTTATTTCACTTACTATTATGGTCCCATCAAAACATTTTTTAAAGGGGGATTGGGGATGTCGCTCACTGTCAAGGCCCTGGGTTCAATCCCGTGTCTAAGGAAGTAGGACACTGTGTTAAAATCTACTTCCGGGTTTGTGTGTGTGTGTGCGTGCGTGCCCTTTTCACTCTGTTAAAAACCATCTGAACGTTTGCTCAGTATCAGGTGTGGAAGAGAGCTGTACCCTAAGAAGGACATGACCAGACTCAGGGTTTGTTTTAAAAGAATGAAACAAAAAGGCAGACTATTAAAAGGTTAATAACACATTGATTGCTCAATATGCCTGTGGGATATTCAAATTGCATTCCCAGATGCAAGTCTAATGAGAAACAGGGCTGGTTCAGCATCACCTGGGGACGTGTTGGAAATGCGTATCACTAGGGCTGCATCTCAACAATCCAGGTGACTTTTAACACACACTGAAGTATGTGAGAACCATGCCAAAATGAGCCTGAGTAAAACAGTTTGTTTTTTTTTTTTCCCAGTACCAGGGATTGAACTCAGGACCTTGCACTTGCCAGGCAGGTGCAGTGCCCCTGAGCCACACTCCCACCCTGAGATTTGCCTGAAAAAAAGATTGGTGGATGGGTACATGCAGTTATTCATATTATTTTCTCTACTTTCTAATTATACAAAATTTTAAATGTAAAAGTAAAGACTCTTAAAATTTTTCTGATATCACTCCAAGTATAATGTATACATAAATTCCCCCAATTTTAGATCAAACTGCTATTTTTTGTTGTTGTTCTGTTTTTTGAGACAAGGTCTCACTAAGTAGATCAGACTGGCTTAAACTAACAGTAATCCTCCTGCTTCAGCTTCCAGAGTGCTGGGATTACAGGCGTGTATCTCCACACACCAGTCAAACTGCTATTTCTTAAGCACTAGGTAAAAAATTTCAGGCCATGTTAAGGGAAAAATACTAGAGTGACTATAAGAAAGTTTTCTTGCCAAGTTCATATCATGGAATTTTGTTCAGTTATCTATGCTGTGTTAGCTGTATTCAGATTAATGGTATTTAACTGTCACACTCCAGGAAAGGAGCAGGGAAACTGAAAACACGCCACTAGATTTGGCAAAGCTTAATTAAAATGGTGGGGATGAGAAGCTCTTTATTATTAGCATGGATTGTGCAGCCAGGCCCATCCAAAACTTAACAAATGTAAGCCAGGTGTAGTGGCCCACACCTTTCCAGCTGGAAAGTTAGGGCAAAAGAATTGCCAATTTGAGCCCAGCCTGGGAAACTCAGTGACTTAGTGAGACCCTGTCTCAAAAAACAGAACAAGGGCTGGGCATGTAACTCAGTGCAAAGACCCTGGGTGCAAACCCCAGTGCCAATCAATTAATCAAAACAAGTAACAGGCTGCCTGCCTTGTTTCTGTCTTATTCACTGTTTAAAAATTTACTCAAGTTTACCTCTGAACAAATACTTGTCATTCCCATTCCCCTTTCCTGGAATGCTGTGTGGACGCTGTCTAAATACTGACTGAGTTATCTCAAGTTCTAACTTCACACTGCGCTAAGAACGTGTCTCACCTGATTTGAGGGTCTTGGGTAACTTCTGAACTCACTGTAATTTTGAGTGACTTGTATACAAGTGTTTTAAATTTTCACAATTCAAATGGTATAAAAGCTGAACCTGGAAAATCTAGAAGCAGATTTAGCAAGTGTCATACCGTTGCACTCTGACAACTGTGCCGTCTGGGAAGATGCTTTCTTCTTGGCCGTCAGCAAATAAATTTTTAATGATCTGGTCAGGAAATGTGATTTCTTTCCTTCCGTCTGGGAAATGTTTTTCTGTTTTAAAAGGGTTTCTGTAAATATTTATTTTTTAAAGGAAGGGAAGAATTTAACAAGGGAAGAATAGCAAACAGGGAAGTTTGTACCTATCTGTCCACTTGAGAAGTGTAGAACTTCAAGTCCTTCAGGGTATGTGGTATGAGTGGTCTGGGCAGCAGCGTAGTAATAGATCTGTAAAGACATGAGGTCAGGACACCTACTCTCCCAGACGGGCAACTGAGAAGAAAATGCGCCAAGGAACATACCACTCTGCCGTCTGGTGTGACCTGCTTCAAGTCGCCATTGAAGAAAGTGACAGTGACAGTCTTCCCATCAGCACTCACTTCTTTCCGAGTCCCATTGGGAAACAGTGTAACCTGGTACCCATTCTTATAAACCTTTTCCACCTAACAGAGACACACAAGACTATCCGTGGGTAAGGGTTCTTCCTGAAACCGTATAACCAAGTTAGGCCAAATCCTCCTCACTGCTTCCTTTGAAAATATTCTCTCAAAAGTAGAGAAGATCCTTTATCTCATTAAGGGTTACAAACTGGTGATTTTTAAAACTCTGCTTATTCACTTTCCCTTTATTGGCTGGAATTCATCTGAAACGGAAACCCTTTCCTCATCAGTGACTGGTACCACACAGGACACTTGGGGAAAGCCTGCCTAACCGCTTCCTTCTAACCGCTGTTCTCCAGCCTCTCATTCCGCAAGTGTAACAGTACGAGGCTCTAAGTGCCACAAGCTTCTTGTCCTCCCACAATTCGGCTGTATTATCTTAGCAGCTCTATGTGACTCAAATGGGCATGTCAGATAGCAAAGCTGGGTTAGTATTTCTCCTTTGCTAATGGCTGCTACTAAGACTCAAGTCCTAGTCCGTGAAGTAGAAGGGCTCTGCTGAGTTAACTTCCAGCCAAGGTCCATTTGACTCCAACTAAATTCTTTCCCTTCTGAATGACCTGTTTGTTCTCCTCAGCAAGTGCCTCCCTTTTACAGTCCTGCCTGTAATATTAGTTATCAGCAGGTGTCCAAGCTCTACCCTGCTCTCTCCTCTTTCCCATGCTTGTAATGAATAAACACTGGATGTCCTTGGTGCTTTTTGTCTTTGCTGCCCAGAGCAGCTTGAATCAGCCCAAGACCCAGCCTCTGCTCTCAACTCTGTGTCTATGTCTTTTGTTCTCTTTCCTATCTCACAGATACTAAGACCCACAGCTGGGGTTCTCGGTAATATTCACTATAATTGGCCCCCAGCGTGGATGTGCAAAGGGGTGGAACTCATGACAACTTTCAGCTCTCACTTTACAACTCCAGACATGGACCACAGGGTACCAGGTGCGCCCAGCCATGAGCAATCCTCCTAATGAACACCTTTTCTAAATACCACTGGAATTACAACATGAGTCAGATTGCTGCAGATGCTGTTAAAGCAGGCTCTATGTACAGGATACTTGCAAGTGCTGCTGTTGATATGCTAATGGACATATGTAAATACATCCCTTGGTTTCCCAAAGCAAGAATACTGGACTTGGAAATATGGGAAGGTGTGACACTTCTCCTTGACATCCAGCAAAGGGGTGATCCTCTTTCCCCTCAAACTTCACTTTCTTGGAGTTTAGTGCACACAGTGCTACCTCCCTTCCAATTAACCCTAACTAAAGCCACTATGCCCATAGCTGTGCTGACTTCAGAGGCAGCCACACCCTTAGCTAAAATGGTGCCACTTCAGAGGGAGCCATGCCTGCAATTACGACTGCAATCACTTCATAGGCAGCCACGCCCATGGCTCCGCTCACACCTAGGTGGAACTCTGTCACCCTCCACATGGCTGTGCCCTCAGTGAAGGTGGCCCCTGTGGTGGCTTTGGTCATCCCCATGACAGTCCCACCCATAGCTATGGTGGCTGAAGCAGCAGCTACAGCAACCACACTGGCAGGTGTAATCACAACTGGTATTTCCAACTTTCACTCGACTGTTGCTCATGAGGAGCATTTCTTTTCAGCCTTAACCCCTTCTGACAGGAGTCTCTCCCCGACCTGCTCTTTCAGTGACTCTTTCTCTTCTGCTCCAGCTGCTTCAGCCCCTCCCAAAGGGGACAGTGAATTAACACCCCCACCTCCTCAGATGCTGCCACTGGCTACTGCCGAGTTTCCTTTCACCCAGTGAGCCAGATCAAGGTATCTAAAGAGCAGACTCTACACAAATCTAAGGAAAAAAGCTCTCATCACCTCCCCCTAACAAACCCTACTTATGTTCTTCCCTTTTCACTCTCCCTTTTAGCTGAGACACCCAGCTAGGCCATTTTCCTAAGCAGACTAGAGATGGGGGCCCTGTCCTAGGACGGAGACAAGAAAGGCTTACAGAAGAGGGTTAGCAGCAGCTGTAAAGGCTTTTAAGCTGTTTGGCACAGGAACGAGTCTAAATAGTGGCACTGTATTCCTTTCGTTACACCACGAAACTACAAATATTTCAGCCCCACAGTCCTGAAGTTCAGGCACCACTGACAGTTTGGTCCACGACAGACCACAATTTCAAGGTGCTCCTCTGAGACTAGCGGCAGTGTGAAAATCTTAGGTTTGCAGTGATGCAAACAAATTTTCACTGGCAGCCATGTTAAAGTATTGCACACACAATTATGTAAACTGCATAACATTTGAGAGTAACTGTTAATGTTATGTACTTTCTATACTTTTTATTTTAAAATATACTATTTATTAAAAAAATTTCTGCCAACAGCCATACTCCACCAGTAGCAGCCTTGTATACTTTATATTCACATTTCTTGATTGTATTATCTAATGTTGTGCTTGATCTAATCTTTGCAGTGTGTTGTTTATCACAGTCCTAAGGGCAACAGACTATCTGTCACACTGTGTGTGTCCTGGTATCTATACCATCACTCCGCAATATTCACACTATGACATCACCACCTAACAGTGTGGTGCTCTCATGTATCCCTCCCTGTTAAGCAGCACATGACCATACTTTAAGCATTTCCACTCTACTTTAGCCCACATTTATGTTTTGGATTTAAAAAAAAAAATTTTAACCTTTCCATCAGAATGACTGATTTCTTCCTGAATTTCTTCTTCTTTTTCCTCCTTTTTATATTCAGGATCTAGGAAGGTGAGTGGTTCAAGCGGCTCCCTGGGCAAGGCAGCCTGTAAGACAAGACATTAGAGCTGTTAAAACCTATACTTACTTCCTAAAGTCAGATGCTAACTTTACAGGGCTCTAGGACTGGATTTGATATTATTTATAAAACATTTATAATCTTAAAACCCTCCTTTATACATGGTTAAGAAACAATGAATCAATTTCAAGTAATCTACACTTGAATATATAAAAATATAAAAAGATTTACTTGTCCTTTATCTGAGCTGCCTAAATCCCGAGGAGGTACAGACTTGGATCTTTGAGATGGATTACCTGTCAGAATATAATTGTAAAAGTTAGGTTCAGTATTATAAAATTTAATTTAAAATGTTAAACATTTTAAAGTTACTAGTATGGTTAAACATTTCCTTAATTCATTCATACCCTTCCTCTGTGAACTGCTGCCCTTTATCTTTTTGTTTTTTGTGGGGATTTTGGGTACTGGGGATTGAACTCAGGACCTTACATTTGAGGCAGGCGGCAGGACCACTGAGCTAAATCCCTGGCCCCTGCCCTTTATCTTTTAATTAAGCAAATCTTAGTATTTTTCTTTACTAGTTTGTGTAAGTGCTCCATTATATAAATTTAAATATTTACACAAGTACTTAAAATTCTCAGTGACCAAGGCAGACAAAGACAGTATCAAATACAGTACTTTTAGCTTATAATCCATAGAAAAACTGGGGCTCAAATAACCTAAAAGACCTGAAGGTATTTTGGAGACAATCACAAGAAATGTTAAGAGAGACTGGTGTGGGGTACAAATAAAAGAGGCATCTTAAGAATACACAGAGCATTTGGTTAACCAAATAACAGGGTATTTAGTTAAAACCTAAGTGCCTTAGAGGGTGTGCCCTGTTATGACTAGAACATCAGTCATGTCCTATAACCCCTATATTATAAAAATAAGTACACATATGTCACCAGTAACAAATGAATTTAAAGAACTATATTGATGTGCTTATATTTTCTTCTTATATGCTAATGAGTCATACTGTAAATATTCTGAACTTTGAAGGGTTTTGTTAATTCCCAGAATCTGCTTTGCATATTAGAAAGTACAAAGGAAGGGCCAAGGATGTGGCTCAGTGCTGCCATGCCTGCTTGGCAAGTGCAAGGTCCTGAGTTTAATCTCTGGTACCAAAAAAAAGTACAAAAGATGCTGAATGCTACAGAGAAAGGCCTGGAGAAGAACAGAGGTAGAGTCTACCAGGAGGCTATCAGACACGCAAGGAGGCTGTGTGGCACCAATGGAAACAGCGCTGTTTCTGCTGCACCACATGGAATCCCTGGTATGTGGGCCCCAAACTGCCATGTCAGCCAATTCTACAGTTCAACATGATGGACTTGGAAAACACCAACAAGAGACAGATGGGTTGGGCAGTGGTAGGTATGATGGGTAAGGACAAAAGGAAAAAGGAACTAAGAGGAGCACAGAGGTTTGACTTGAGCCAGTACGTGGACAGTACGCAGGGTTCTGGGCTAACAGGAGTGCTCTGTTCACATGGGAAGAACATCTTCCACCTCTCAGGGCACGTGTATGAAGTACACCGTATTAACTGGAGCTGTGTTACATCATTTGCAATCTTCCTATCATTTCCAGAGACAAGACTAATATTCCTATTTTATACATGAGAAAACCAAGGCTGAGGATGAGTAACTTGCCAATGGAATCAACTAATAAGATTCATCATACATCAAATTTACTTCTCAGGCTGATCATGAACATTAACTTGAACCCTCAAAATTATCTACAGCTCAGCGGAACAAGAGGTGAGCAGAAACATGCTCTGACTCCTGGAGGCAGACTTACTGTCTGCAGGACCACAACTCAGCTGACACATAAGACACGAGCGTAGGAAAGGAGAAAGCTGGGTAACAAACAGTGCTGGACAGAGATCCCACAGGAGGCAGGTTATGCAGGAAGACTTAAGCACTACTAGGAGCCGGGTGCAGTGGTGCACTCTGGGAGGCTGAGGGAGGAGAACCACAAATGCAAACCCAGCCTGGGGAACTTAGTGGGACACTGTCCAAAAAACACAAAAAGGGCTGAGGATATAGCCTAGTGCAAAGGCCCTGGGTTCAATCCCCAGTACCTCAGAAACAATAACAAAATACAGTACTATGAAGGAAAAACCTGAAATTCAGTTCCCTTAAAATGAGAATGTAGGTTATCAAAAGACACTATACGGAGTAAAAACCCACCCAGTGTAGTGGCACAGAGCTATATAATCCCAGCACTCACAAGGCTAAGGTAGGAGGAGTGTGAACTCTAGGCCAGCCAGGACATCTTACAGAGAAACTCAGTCAAAAAAAAAAAAAAAAGAAGACAAGCCATATACTGAGAGAAGATACTATCTTTCCAGTATATGCGGATTGTGAGAAGAGGAAGGGGAAGCCTCTCACAAATCAATAAAGGAAAAGAACCCCACAGAACAATAGGTAAAGACCTATTGTTGAATAAGCTTCTTGAAAGAGGACATCTACATAGCTAATAAGCAGAGACAGTGTTCAATTATTTAATAGGAAAATGCAAATTTAAACTCCAGTAATACACTGTTATTCCCCCATGTGCCTGGAAAAAAAAAATTTTTTTTTTTGGTACCAAGGTTCAAATTCAGGACCTTGCTCTTGAGAGGCAGGCAGTAGCACCACTGAGCTAAATTCCCAGCATGCCTAGCAAAATTTTAAGTATAACAGTACCGGATGAAGTATGAAGCAAAAGAAGTGCTTTCATGAGAGTATAAAATCAATTTGAAAAATATTTTGGCAAAATTTACTAGCATTAAAAATATATTTAAGGGCCAGGGATTTAGCTCAGTAGTACCACACCTGCCTCACAAGCTCAAGGTCCTGAGTCCAATCTTCCGTACAAAAAAAAAAATTAAGCCAAGCATGGAAGAGTCACGCTTATAATCCCAGCACCCTGGGAGGCTTAAGGCTGAAGGATCAAAGGAACACAAGTTCGAGCCCAGCCCAGGCAACTTAAATGAGACCTTGTCTCTAAAAGGGAGTGGCTAGTATGGGGTTGTAGCTCAGTGAGAAAGCCCTGGGTTAAATCCTCAATACTGAAAAACATTCACACCAATACCCCCATTATTGTAGCCCTACAAATGGGACTAAAGAAATGTGTGTGCCAGAAATAGCCAAGAATGTTCACGACATCATTGCTGACTTAACATCCTCACAAGTTTATAAAAGTGCACCTATTGATAGAAAATGACCACACTCCAATACATTCATAAGTGAATCCCTCCTTGCACTAAAAATTAGGAAATGAGAGCTGTAGATCAAATCTCTACAACACGGTGTTCAATGAAAGACAACAAAGGAGCACACGCAGCCTGATTCTGTAGTAGTGACACTGCAAAGCAGTGCTAAGGCCTTTGAGGGCTGCCCCAGGAGCTAATGCTGAAGGAAAAGTCATGGGATTGGGGGTTGGGGGAGTTGTTGTTCCATGAAAGCAAAAAAAAAAAAAAAAAAATCCGTAAGATTAATAAATTCAGTATTAAAAGGAAAAAAAATGTATATATATATATAAATCACAAACCAGACTAGAAGAAAATTTTAGCAGTGGTTATAAATGACAAAGTATTAATATGCAAATAACTAACTTCAATAAGGAGTTACACACCTTAGAATTTTAAAAGAACCAAGGAAATGAGCAGGCAATTCACAAAAAAGAATCCCAAATGTCCACTGAGTACAATAAAAAATGTTCCCAGCAATTAGGGATGCTTATTAAAACCACACTGAGGCCCGGGGATTTAGCTCAGTGGCACCATGCCTGCCTCGCAAGCCCAAGGTCCTGAGTTCAATCCCCGATTCCAAAAAAAAAAAAAAAACACTACACTGAGGTACTATCTCACATCTGACCAGCCAAAATGTTAAAGCCTAACTAGATGAAGTGTCAACAAGTACAAAGGGTATATTTTACAGAGAGTAAAAAGCTGGCACAACCATTTTACAATGGGAAACCTCAGCAGTACAAACCAAACATACCCAGCACCCTGCTCCTAACATGGACTCTAGAGAAAGCCACGCTATGGAGACCTGCTCTGTCGTCTGCTCATTACCCTGCCTGCCCACCAACAGGGACCCAGCCTTGGAGATACAGCAGAGATCTAAGAGCTACTGCAATGAATCATCTGGAGCTTTTAAGCATTAATGTGGGTAAATCTGACAATATTGGGAGAAAAACGCAAATTGCAAAAGAACAAATAGAGCATGAAATAACATTCTATCTTACCGATACAAATAGTAGTAGAATTTTTTAAAAAGCATAGAATGCTATCTGGAATTATTTCCTGTAGAGTAAAATTATGCACAGCAGCTTCAACTATATTTACAATGTTTTATTTCTTAATGCATATAAATTTGCTATTCTTTAATTCTGAAAAGGTCACACAGCCTCTTACCATGTTTTGGCAAATAGTTTTTCTTGTACTTTTCCCCCTGGGCTCCTGAGGAAATGTGGCTCTTGTGGTATCGCACAGATGTGCTCTACGGTGTGAGAAAGAATCGTGAGTATAAAATTTTGAAAATAATGTTAGTCTACACATCAGCGCAATGACTGAAGCTCAACTCAGCCAGTGATGAGAACACTGCAGGCTTGTTCACTAGCGTTCTCATTTATCACTGTAAACCAAAGTGGACTGTCTGTTATCTGGCAGTGAACTACACACACACGTACACACTCTTTCTGACACATACTCATTCTCCACGTTAGGACCCAGCAAGCACTGTAATCAGGAGAACAAGTCCCTTCTGTCAAGGTTGGCCTCTTACAGGAGCTGCCCCGACACCCTCTTCTGGCTGGGCCCAGCTCTCCCTAGAATTCACTTGCTTTGTTCCTACCACTAGGATGAGGCTTCCTTCTCCTCGCTCCCCTGGGATCTGCCCAACACCCAGCACTTGACTCATGCTCCCAGTGTGCTCTGCATCCCCTGCCAGATGATACATCTAGCACCTTGGTTTCACTGTGTTGAGCTAATCCTGCTCTGATCTGTACTCTGTGCTGCCCCAGCTAGACATCCGATGGGTAAACTCCACAAGTTGTTACTCTCAATAGTATCAAAATCTGCAATCAACACTAAGTGCAGAAGTCACACTTCGAAGAATTTCAAAGCCTTCCAGTAACGAAGATAAAACATGGGGCAATCCACAAAATAGTCTGGCATCTTCAAAACGTCAATGCCAGGGGCTGGGGATTTAGCTCAGTGGTTTTGCCACCTGCTGCGCAAGCACAAGGACCCGAATTCGATCCCCGGTACCAAAAAAAAAAGTCAATGTCAGGGCCGGGGATGTAGCTCAGTGGTGCCACCGCCTCCCTCCCAAGCACAAGGTCCTAAGTTTGATCCTCAGTACCAAAAAAAAAAAGTCAATGCCATTTAGTAAATGCTAAAGTATTTAAGGATGGGATACTATGATTTCTGTCATTACCTTCAAACTATTTGGCAAAACATGTACATAGGTACAGCAAAATGTTCGCAGGGCTGAGTCCAGGTTATCATATTCTTTCACTTACTCTGCTTTGGGAGGAAGGCTTCTTCCATAATAAAGTGTTTGCGGAACAGGGGGAAAATGCCATCATATCCTACCTTCCTGGCTCATTCTTCTGACACCTTCACCCTGACAGTGGCAACATCCCACAGGGTCAGTCCTATAGGCATGGCTTAGAACCTTGTAGCTTTTTGTCCTCTCACACAACTTAACTTCATGGTTCCTTACACAGCAGTTACTCCTGTCACATACAGTGCCAGCTCTCATGTCCCTCTCTCACTTGGTGGCATTTAGTTGTGACCACGTCTCTGCTAATACCTAACTCTCCACCACCCTTCACCCAGAGAGCTGAATGAGGAAAACACCAGTATGAACAGTTCTCACTCAAGTGGAGGTCTCTAATCCAAGTGGGCCCCAGTGCAGCCCAGGCCAAGCCTCCCCGCCCCAGACCCCCTGCTTAGAGTCCTCTCTCAGACAACTGCTCCCAGATTTCTGCTCCTTCAACCTCCTCTAATTCCTCTTCCTCCCTCTTAGCTGAAGATTGTTCCCCCGCTTCCCTGAGAAGGTCCAAGCTTCTGGGAGCCCTCCCTACCAACTGCCACTGCACATCAGCCTCGTCTGGGCCCACCTCTCCCGTGCTGGGGCTGACAGTGGTGCCTGGCCAGGGCCGCCTGCCATCCATCTGTCCCCAGACCTGACCCAGGACACTGCTGAGCCACTCCCCAGCTTCCTCCTGCAGCAGTGCTCTCCTCTCCACTAAATCAACCCTACACACACCCACACCTGTTCATTTCCTAGCTTAAAACACAAAATTCCTTCCCTTCAGGCACTACCCCCTCTTCAATTTACTGCAGAATGAAATCCCCAGGGCCATCTGGTCCCCAACTGTGCCGAGTTCTTTCTTACCAGCCAGGCTCTGCTTTTCAAACCTCCAAAGAACCGGGCCACATCACACCCACTGCAGTACTGAAGGTCCTCTTACTGTGCCACACCACCAGACGAGGGTGCCCTTCTCCTTCTCACAAGACTTTCTTCACTGGGCTCAGGGACACACTGTCTGTCTGTGTGTCTGTCTCTCTCTCTCTATTCCCTCTCCTCTTCCCATCTTCCAACTGGTTCCTCCCAACCACACTCAGGGCCCAGCACACAAGCACACATTCTAAGGAGCCCATGTCCTCTCCAGCCCGCACCTCCCTGGTCACCTGGGCAGCTGCTGAGGCAGCATCTCCACACCATGGTAGGGAGGCACTGCATTCTTACCATGAGCTTCCTGGAAAACATGCTATCTTCCTGTGGTCTCACATAATACATCAATGGGAACTCCACTACACCAAAGGCCCGGACTAAACTATAGTTGGAAGTCATTGTTGACTCCTCTCTTGCTGTCACACCTCTGTCAAGTTCATCAACAAATCAGTTCTGCTGTTCACCCCTCCACTGCTGTGACCCCCATCTATGCCTCCACCACCTGGTCTGAATTCCCGCAGTGGTCCCCATGTTCCTGCCCCTCTACTAGTCAGTCTGCAGGGACACAGTCAACATACTGCAAGGAAGAAGCAGTCTACCCCAAGCCCCAGGGGCTCCCACACATCAGGTTCCCTGACAGCCTAATGACCCCATTCCTAGCGCTCTCCCACATTTGATGTCCCACATTCTGGCCTCTCTGGTCACAGACATATCCTGGCCCCCCCCTGCAGGGCACCCCTCAAATGGAGCAACCCAGGCTCACACTTCTGGCCAGCCCCACCTCACCTTTCCTGCCTAGTCTTGACACTCTCCCACGGCCACATTGTACATTCATCCACCATATGTACAGTCTTTCTACCAGCAAGTTCCAGGAGTGTGAGGAATTCTATTTTGTTCATCGCTGTACCCCAGGGCACATATTCCTCCCATGGCTCAGTAATTCACAGATACATGAGCCCAGACCCTTGGTTAGAAAGGAGTCAATTCATATGACTGCAAAATTTCACCTGCACTCGATGTTTTAACTGAGTTTATCTGTCTGCTATATAACTCCTTTGTAAGAATTATAAAAATGAATTTGAAAAGTACCTGTATATTGTAATACATGAAATTCTTTTAGCTGTGGTAGAATATACATGACCTAAAATTCCCTGCCCACTCAACCAATGTTGAATGTACAGTTCAGGGGCATTAGGTATATTAATAATGTTGTACAAGCACTACCCTCACCCATCTCCAGAACTTCTTCATCTTGTAGCACTGAAACCCTGTATCCACTACCCCCACTCCTCATGCCCTCCCCAGGCCCTGGCACCCACTACACCACTTTCTAACCTTATCAATTTCAATGTTCAAATATTTACCAGCACCTCCAGACCTGGAACAACTAGCTAGCACCAAAACCTACCATGGACTCATCTTTCTTCCCAGCAGTTACACACTGGTAGGCCTTGGGGCTGCTCTCAATAGCTTCTGCTTTCTTCCAGGCATCCAGTCGGAATCTTTCCATCACTTTTATCTCTTCTCGGAGGTCTGTGTTCTCTCGGACTAACATTTCTATCTGGCTTCTTAGACGGCCATATGAGCTTGTCCATTTTGCTTCCTTCCTTTTCAGATCTTCCTGTAAATCTTCTATTTGGTGTTTCAAAGCCTCTCAAAAAAGAAAGAGAGAAATTCTTGAATTAAAACAATGTAATAAGAAAAGAGAGACATCAATGAAATAGCAGCCAGACACACAGACAACAGAAAAGGAAGGCTTAGTCAGTAAATGATGATGGATTTGTCACAAGAAGGGAGGGGCAGCAGTTAGAGCCTCAAAGGCAGATGCAACACTGCTTTGCACCTGAGCAGCTGACTGTAAGAACACAGCATGAGGTAGTGGGGGCCTAACATAAGATGGTAACTGAAAACAAAGAAAGGTATCTATGGACAACACCTGGTAAAGAAAAAGTTACAGAGCATTACCCTGACTCCAAAACCAGACAAAAAGTAAAAGTAAACTCTAGGCCAATCTCTTCAATGAACATAGATGCAAAAATCCTCAAGATTCCGGCAAACAGAATGCAACAAGGCATCCAAAAGATCACATATCAAGACCAAGTAGGGATACAAGGATGGCCCAATATACTCAGATTAATAAATGTAATACACCACATAAATAGGAAGGCAAAAAAACACATGATCATCTCAATAGATGCACAAAAACCTTTGACAAATCCAATATCCTTTCATGAGAACAATCCTGAAGATACTTATAGAAAGAATCTATCACTATCTATTTCAATCTGATAAAACTCATTTATGACAAACCTGCTGCCAACATCACATTAAGCAGGGGAAAACTGAAAGTTTTCCCTCTAAAATCAGGAAGAAGACAAGAATATATACCACTCCTATTCAACATAGTACTTAAAACATTAGCCAGAACAATCACCAAGACAAAGAAATAAAAAGGATACATACAGGAAAGGAAGAAGTCAAATTAGTCACAGATTCACCACAGAGAAGATCCAGAAAACTCCACGGAAAAAAAAAAAAAAAAACACCTCAGCAATGTAGCAGCAATGGCATTGCTGTACACCAATAATGAACTCAGTGAAAAATTTGGAAAATGATACCATTCACAATATCATTAAGAAAAATTAAATACTTAAGAATTAACCTATGCCAGGTATGGTAATGCACACCTATAATCTGAGCGCTTGAGAGGCTGAAGGCAGAAAGATTGCCACAAGTTTTAAGTCAGCTTGGGCTACATAGTGAGTGCAAGGCCAGCCTGAAGTACATAGAAAGACCCTGTTCTCAAAAAAAGCAAAAATCAGAACAAAAAAAGAATTAACCTAACCAAGGAAGTATTGCTGTTTCTCTACAACAAAAACTATAGTACTATAAAAAAGGATATTAAAGAGGAGGACATCAGAAAGTGGAAAAAGAGAAAGATATCCCCTGTTCCTGGATAATCAGAAGCAATATTGTCAAAATGGCCATACTTCCAAAACTGATATACAGATTTAAACATAATCCCAATCAAAATACCAATAGCATTCCTCATGGAACTACAGAAAATAATCCTAAAATCTAAATGGAGAAGAGCAAAACCAATACTGTATTGGGCCAGGGATTTAGCTCAGTGGTTTCGCCACCTGCTGTGCAAACACAAGGACCGGAGTTCGATCCCCAGTACCAATAAATAAATAAATAAATAAATAACCAATCCTGTATTACAAATGCAAAGCAGGGCCAGGGATTTAGTTCAGTGGTTCCAGTGCCTGTCTTGCAAGCAAGCATAAGGTCCCAAGTTCGATCCCCGGTACCAAAACAAAAAAACAAAAATACAAAGCAGGCAGCATCACAATCCTGGATTTCAAGTTGTATTACAAAGCCCCAGTGACAAAAACAGCACGGTGGGCCGGGGATTTAGCTCAGTGGTTCCACCACCTGCCTCACAAGTGCAAGGTCCCGAGTTCCATCCCCAGTAACAACAACAGCAACAACAACAACAACAACAAAAAAAACAATTTCAAGAATCCCAATAGATTAAATCCACCAGACAAGGCAAGCAACTACACAGAAGGAAAAGAAAGGGAATCAACAACAGGAAAACACTATGAAGACAAGGGTAAGTCAGTATCTATCAGATATGTGAATGGTCTCAATTCGTCAATCAAAAGAAACAGATTAGGGGCCGGGATTTAGCTCAGTGGTGCCACACCTGCCTGGCTAGCCTAAGGTCCTGAGTTCGATTCCAGATCCCCCCCACCAAAAAAAACCACACTGGCAGAACGGATCAAGGAACAAGATCCAACAATATGCTGCATACTAGAAACACATTTCACTCAAAAAGAAAATCATACACTGAAAGTCAAAGGATGGAAAACAATACTCCATGCAACAGGAACCCAGAAAAAACCTGGACTAGTTATTCTATTCATAGACAAAGTGGATTTCAAGCCAAGACTGATCAGAAGAGACAAAGAAGGTCATAACATACTTGTTAAAGGAACAATCCAAGAGGAAGAGATAACAATTATAAATATATATGCACCAAATACCAGTGTACCCAACTATATAAAACAAACACTAATACAATTGTAATGGAAGACCTCGATACTCCACTGTCACAAACAGATCAACTAGACAAAAAAAAAAAAAATCAACAAAGAAATATCAGAGCTGAACTAAGCCTTTGGACTCAGCAGATATCTACAGAATGTTCCACCCAACAACAGAATACACATTCTTCTCAGCAGCACAAAGGACTTTCTCCAAAACAGACTACATACTACCTCATAGCACATGCTTAAGTAAATGCAAAGAAACTGAAATTATCTCATGCATATTATCAGATCATAATGTAAGGAAATTGGAAATCAATGGCAAAAGAAACCACAAAAACTACATAAACACATGGAAATTAACACCCTCCTGAACAATCAATGAAATTAAAGAAAGTAAAACAATTTCTACAATTAAAAACTAATGTCAATACAACATACCAAAACTTATGGGATGCAAAGAAAGCAAGCAGTCTTAGGAGGGAAATTTACATCACTGAATTCCCACATCAGAAAAACAGAGCAAGCTCAAGTAAATAATCTAATTTTGGGGTTTTCCTTACTTTTGTTTTGTTTTGGTGTTTTTTTGTGGTTTTTTTGGTACCGGGGATGAACTCGGGTCCTTGCTCTTGCACAGCAGGTGGCGAAACCACTGAGCTCCATCCCCGGCCCTTGTTTTGGTTTTTGAGACAGGGCCTCACTATGTAGTTCAGGCTGGTCTAAAACTCACTATGTAGACCAGGACAGCCTCCAACTCATGGCAATCCTCCTGCCTCAGCCTCCCAAGTACTGGGATTATAGCCATGAGTCACCATACCCAGCTAATAACTTAATTTTGAACCTCAAGCTTCTAGAAAAACAAGACCAAGTTAAAACCAAAGCTCATGCAAGGGAGAAAGTTGCGAAGATCAAAGCAGAAGTCACTGCAATTGAGACTAAGAAAATAATACAGAGTTGGTTGTTTTAAAGAGTAAATAAAATAAATAAATCCTTATGCAACCTTATCAAAAGAAAGAAAAGACCCCAATCTATGCAATTAGGAATGAAAAGGGTGAAATTACAACCATTCCTGTATAAATTCACATAATCATCAGTACCTACTTTGAGAGCCTGCAGTAGTGTAGTAAGGTGGGAAACTCGGAAAACATGGACAGATTTCTAGATACTTATGAATTTAGCTCAGTGGGATTTAGCTCAGGGCTGCCACATCTGTCTCGCAAGCACAAGTGCACTGAGTTCAATCCCGGTATCAAAAAAAAAGAACATATAAAATTTCTAAAGACCCAATATCAGTCAATTAAATTGAAGAAGCAATAAAAAACCCCAAAACTACCAATAAAGAAAACCCCAAGTCCTCATAGATTCCCTGCTAAATTCTACAAGAACTTTAGAGAAGATCGAATGCCACCACTCCTCAGTATCTGTAACAAAATTGAAAGGGAAGCGATATTCCCAAAATCATTCCTGGAAGTAAGCATTACCCTGATACCAATACCAGAGAAGGACCCAACCAAAAAAGAGAGCTACAGGTCAATCTCTTTCATGAACACAGATGCAAAAATTCTCAATAAAATACTGACAAACAAAATACAGCAAATCATCAAGAAAATGTTATACTGTGACCTAGTAGGATTCATCCCAGGGATGCAGAGATGGTTCAACCTACACAAATCAATAAATGTAATACACACCCATGTTTATAGGGGCACAGTTTGTAATGGCTAAATCTTGGAAAGAACCCAAATGCCCATCGACTGGTGACTAGATAAAGATGTGGTTTTTTAATAAATGGAGTACTACTCAGCCATAAAGAATGATAAACAAGAGACACTGATAGCTAAATGGATGCACATTGATGCCATACTCTTAAGTGAAATAAAAGGACACACGTGTAGATATTGAACAGTTTCTCTGGTGTGAGAAAGTGAAAGTGTAAATAAGGACCAAAATGTATAATATATAATGTGAAATAGGACGAAAAGGTCCAAAGGGCAAGGGAAAGGGGAAGTGGTGAGGGGGAGGAAAGAAGGGAAAGGAAAAAATACAAGAAAAGGAAAAAACAGAAACAAAGTCTTTGTAAATGGGGAGGGGCAGAGGGGTTGAAGGGAGGGCACAGGAATGGGGAAAAAAATAAGAACAAAGATGGATTAATACCCTAAAAAAATTACAATAGAAAGTCTTATCTCAAACTGATAACGCCATCTATGACAAACCAATAGTGAACATCATACTAAATGGTCAAATACTGAAAGCTTTCACTCTAAAATCAGGAACAAGACAAGGATGTCCACTACCACCACTCCTGTTCAATATAGTTCTGGAAACATTAGCCAGAGCAATTAGACAAGAGAAAGAAATAAAGGGAATATGGATAGGAAAGAAAAAATGAAATTATCATTATTTGCTGATGACATGATACTATACATCGAAGATCCAAAACCTCCACCATGGGGCCGGGGATTTAGCTCAGTGGCACCACGCCTGCCTCACAAGCACAAGGTCCTGAGTTTGATCTCTGTGGGGGGGAGGGGGGCACTTCATAAAAAACTCTTAGAATTAATAAGAAAATTCAGTAGCATAGCAGGATACAAAGTCAATACTCAAAAATCAATAGCATTCCAGGGGCCAGGGATTTAGCTCAGTGGTTCCACCACCTGCCTCACAAGCTCAAGGTCCTGAGTTCGATCCCTGGTACCAAAAAAAAAAAATCAATAGCATTCCTGTACCCAAATAACTAACTCATTGAAAGAAAAATTAGGGAGACAATTTCTTTCACAATACCATCAAGGAATAGAAAATACTTAGCAATCAATCTAACAAAGAAAGTGAAAAAGCTTTACATTGAAGAGTACAGTACTCTGAAAAAGGAAATCAAAAAGGGTATCAAAAAATGCAAAGATATCCCCCTTTTTTTGATAAGCAGAACCAGTGAAAATGGCTGTACTTCCAAAATTAGAATAAAGATTCAATGCAATCCCAATCATAATACCAATACCAGGCTGGGGATTTAGCTCAGTGGTTCTACTGCCTGACTGGCAAGCATAAGGTCCCAAGTTCGATCCCTGGTATCAAAAAAAAAAAAAAAGAAAGCTTTTGCACACCAAAAGAAACCACCAACAGAGTGAAGAAACCACCAACAGAATGGGAAAAAAAAATTTACCACCTCTTCTTCACACACAGGACTAATATCTAGAATATATAAAGTTGAACTCAAAAAAATCAGACGCCCCCCAAATTCAAAGACTCAATCCAAAAATGGGCATCCAAAATGAACAGACACTTCACAGATGAAGAAGTAAACAGCAAATAAATATATGAGAAAATGCTCGACATCACTGGTCATTCGAGGAGTGCAAATTTAAACAACACTGAGATTCCACCTCACTTCAGAAAGAATGGCTATCATCAAAAAAATCAACCAATAACAAATGCCGGTGAGACTGGAAAAAAGGAACCTTCTCCATTGTTGGGAGTAGAAACTGGTACAACCATTATAGAAATCAGTAGAAAGACTCCTCAAAAAACAAACTAGAAGTTCCATGTGATGCAGCTCTTCCCTTTCTAGGTATCTTCCTGAGAGTTAAAAGCATCCATCCTACCACAGTGACATACGCATGCCCATGTTTATAATAGGACAATTTATAACAGCTAAATCTTAGAACCAACACATATGCCCATCAATGGATGAATGGATTAAAAAAATGTGGTTATTTATATACAGTGGAGTATTACTTGGCCATAAACTTGAGTCATTCGTAGGTCAATGGATGCACTTGGCAAATATCACATTGTTTCTCTTGTGTGAAAAACCCTAAGGCTAAATAAGGAACAAAATGGAGAACAGATACTGGGAAGTAGAAAGCGTATGTTCAATGGGAAATGGAACAAGAGAGGGGAGAGGAGAAAGGGAAGGGTGGGGAAAAGGGATTTTAAAAAATGGAAGTAAAAATGAAAACAAAGCTTCTATAAATGGGGATGGGAAGAAGATTGAAGGGAGTGGAGAGAAATGGGGAAAAAAGAATAGGATATATTATTTACAGGTACAAATTCCCTATGATGAATGTGAGCACTATGTATGGCAAATACGTAGTAAATAAATAAATACAAAAAAAATGAACTTGTTGAGAAACAAATCGGGAAACAATTCCAGTCGTAATACCTTCAAAGATATTAAATACCTAGGAGTCTACCTGTCTAAGGAGGTAAAAGACCTCTATAATGAAAATTACAAAGCTCTGAAGAAAGGAATTGAAGAGGACATTAGAAAATGGAAAGAAATCCCTTGTTCTTGGATTGGAAGAATCGATATTGTTAAAAATGGCCATACTGGGCCAGGGATTTAGCTCAGTGGCGCTGCCCTTGCCTCCAAAGGGCAAGGTCCTGAGTTCAAATCCCGGTACCAAAAAAAAAAAAATGGCCATACAACCAAAAGCAATCTATAGATTCAATCCAATCTCTACTAAAATCCCAAGTAGCAAAAGCAATCCTGAGTTTCATTTGGAATAAGAAAAGATCCAAAATACCCAAAGCAACCCTGAACTAAAAGAGCAAGGCCGGAGGCATCACAATACTGGATTTCAAATTACAATACAAAGCTATTGTAATACAAAAACAAGATGGTACTGGCACAAAAACAGAAATACAGAACAGAAGACACAAAAACAAACCCAAGCACCTCAGCCATCTGATTTTTGACAGAGGGGCCAAAAGCATGCTGAAGAAAAAAACGGGAGAGTCACATGCAGAAAACTGAATAGATCACTCTCTCATCCTGTACCAAAATTAAATCAAAGTAGACCAAAGACCTAGATATGCAATTAGAAACACTGGAACTGCTAAAATAGGGGAATAATATAGGGGAAACACTTGAAGCCATAAGCACAGGCAGACTCCTGAACAGGACTCCAAAAGCACAGGAAATCTAAGAATCAGCAAATGGGACTACATTAAATTTAAAATGCTTCTGCACACCAAAAGAAACAAGAATGAAAACAACCCACTAAGACAGTGGTGGTGCACAACTGTAATGCTAGCTACCTAGGAAGCTGAGGTAGAGAAGGATTGCCACAAGTTCGAGGCAATTATATAGTGAGACCCTGTCTCCAAAAACCAAAAAAAAAAAAAAAAGGGGAGGGGGGATGAGCAAGCTGGATTTAGCTCAGTGGCACCATGCCTACCTTGCAAACACAAGGTCCCAAGTTCAATCCCTGGTACTGAAAGAAAAAAAAGGGAAAGAGAGATAACCCACTAAACAGGAGAAAATCTTTGCTAGCTATTCTTCTAATAGAGCTTTAATATCTTTTTGTTTTGTTCAATTTTGTCCTTTGGGGTTTTCTTGGGGACGGGATCTCACTGTGTATTTCAGGCGAGCTTCAAATTTGCAGTGCTCCTCCTGCCTTGGGTTCCCGGGTGCTGGAATTATAGGCATGAGCCATGCCCAAAGAGGATTAGTATCTAGAATATATAAAGAAGTTAAAAGATTAATCTCCCCATCAAACAGTGACTTCAATAAAAAAAAGTAGGCAAATGAACTAAATAGATACTCCTCAAAAGAAGTTTGATGACCAAAGAGTATACAAAAAATGTTCAACATCTCTAGTCATCAGAGAAATGAAAATTAAAACTACATTCAGATTTCATTTCACCTCAGTCAGAACAGCTCTTATCAAGCATACAGAAAACACCTGTGTAGTGCAGCACACCTATAATCCCAGCACTTTGGAAGGCTGAGGCAAAAGGATCACAAATTCAAATTCTGCCTGGGCAACTTAGCAAGACCCTGTGACAAAATAAAAAGGCCTGGGGATTTAACTCAGTTCAAAGGCCCTAAGTTCAATCCCCAGCACCAGAAAACAAAACAAACTGAATGGTGGGAAAGATGAAGAGAAAAAGGAGACCTTCTACACCTTTGGGGGGAATGTAAACTAGAACCACTATGGAAATCAGTATCAAAACTCCTCAAAAGACTAAAAACATCTGATCAAGTTATACTACTCTTGAGCATATTCCTGAAAGAATTACAAAATACATAGTTTAGTGGTATATGTATATCCATGTTAATAATAGCTCAATTCGCAATAGCTGAACTGTAGAAACAGCCTAGATGCCTGTCAACAGAAGAATGAACCAAAAAATGGAGCATATACACACAATGGGATATTACTCAGCCATAAAGAGAAACAAAATCATGTCATTGCAAGAAAACTGATGGAACTAGGAACTATGGTGTTGAACTGGGCATGGTGGTACATGATGGTACAGAATGCCAGCACTCTGGGAGACAGAACTGGGAGGATCACAAGTCTGAGCTCAGCCAAGGCAACTTAGTGACTTAGCAAGACCTTGTCTCAAAGAATTAAAAAAGGGGCTAGGGATATAGTTCAGTGCAAAGGGCCTAAATTCAATCCCTAGTACAAAAAAAAATCATGTTTAGTGAAATTAGCCATAGCCGGACTCAGAAAGTTAAATTTCACCTGTGTTCTCTTATATGAGAAACCTAAAACATTCATAAACTAATAATTAAAAACAAAAGAAGACAGGAAACCAGGGGTAGACTTCTGGAGCCAGGAAAAGGGTCAAAGAGGAAGAGAGCCAACAGGGAGGGGAGGGGACAAAGAGATTGAAATTGATTAAGCTAGGTTAAATGCATATTTCAACTTCCCCCCAAAAACCCCATTGTTATGTAATATTAACATACCCTAATAAATTTTTAAAAAGAGAAATACAGAATGACTTCAGTATTCTACCACTAATATAAAAAGAAAAAATCTAGCCAGGCATAGTGGCACATGCTTGCAATCCCAGCAACTCGGGAGGCTGATGCAGAAATATTGCAAGTCTGAACTCTGCCTGGGCAATTTAGTGACTTAGTGAGACTCCATCTCAAAAACAGATAAAAAGAGCTGAGGATGCAGCTTAGTATGAAAGCCCTGAGTTCAATCTCCTGTACTGCAAAGAGAAAGAAAGGGGGGGTGGGGAGGTGACTGAATCCAGGGACATGTATATGGACTTGAACAGACTTGATAAGAATTTCTCTCAAAAGACACAAGAGATTGATAGCACTGGCTGTCTCAGGAGAGCTGAATTAGAATGTAAACATACAAAATGAAAAAAAGACACCCTTAAGCTATTGGGAAAATCTGAGTATGGACGAGTCCTTGATGTTAAGGCCACTATGTGTGATAAAGGCACAAATTTCTTTTTTTTGTGCCGGAAATCAAGCTCAGGGTCTCACACTTGCCAGGCAGATGCAGAACTTCTGAGCTACATTCCCAGCCCACTCATTACAATTTTTTTTTTTTTTTTTTTTTGTACCAGGGATCGAACTTGGGTCCTTGCACTTGCACAGCAGGCAGCGAAACCACTGAGCTAAATCCCCGGCCCCACTAATTACATTTTTTAATGGTGTCTTTCTCAGAGACACCTTGGGTGTCATACCTAATTATTTAGGGTGAGATGAGGAGCGGGGTTGGGTTGGGTTTTGTATGTGACAGGGTGGTCATCTGGGGCTACAGATGTGTACCACTGCACCACACTGGGATTTCATCTGAACTATTCCAGATTGCAGAGCAAAGAAAGAGTAGAAAGGAAAAGAGGAATGAAATTAGGAAGACAAAATGATCAATGATGAAGGAGAAGAATTCATTACATTTTTGCTACTTTCATGTTCCTTGAAATTCTCTGCAATATAAAAAATTGTTTTTTTTAAAGAAGTGAACAGGTGGCCAAGACAAAAGTGAGAGGGATTTCACTACATACGTTTTTGTAACCTCTAAATTGCAATATATTTATATTACCTTTAAAAATAAAAATGTCTAAAGATTTTTTAAAATCTACCATTTACATTTAGCACACCAAGCACTAACCAAAACATTAGGCACAAATTTTTCCCCACAAATATACTTAATAGAATTAAAGACCCTGTGTGATATGGCATGCAATAACTACAGCTGTAGGTATACAGATGAAATTGCTCAAAGATGCCACAAGACATGAGAAAGGAAAGATGCAGAGGATGGAACTCAAAAGCATTATTACTTAAAAAGTAGAAAGTCAGAGGGCCGGGGATTTAGCTCAGTGGTTTTATCACCTGCTGTGCAAGCGCAAGGACCCAAGTTTGATCCTCAGTACCAAAAAAAAAAAAAAAACAAAAAACTTCAACTTCTCAAAATAAAAATTTTAAAGGGTATCCATTATTTCTACATAAAATGCATGCAAGCTTGTCTCCTACTTTCTTTCTTTTTTTGGTACCAGGGCTCAAACTCGGGTCCTTGTGCTTGCAAGGCAGGCAGCGGAATCACTGAGCTAAATCCCCACCCCGAGAAGTTGAAGTTTTAACTTTAAGTCCAACATACCTATTTTCTTTTATACTTAGTTCATTGTCTTGTATTAGAAATCTTTGCATATGCCAATGTCACAAATATCCTTACCTGTGTTGGGTGTCTAGGTTTTAATAAGAAATGCATTAGTTCTTTCCTCTAATCATGTCCATGTCTAACTCTGAAATAAATAAGATTGATAATTTGGCCTGTAAATTTATAAATTTTAGAATTAAACACCTCACTAGTATTTGGGCCTTAAACTATTAAAAATGAACAGAACAGTTAAAAAAGAGACTAACACAAGACTGCATGATCAACTTCCAACTCCTGGTTTGCTAGTTCATCTGTGGTCTCTTTGGGAGGCTGTTAGTGCACCTTTAGTAGTACGGAAAAACGATCATATTGTACTACTTAGAAATCAGTAAAAGATGTCCCTGATGCACCGTTCTAGACAGATTAGTTTTTAAATGAATGAATAACGGATTAGCACCCAATTTCTCTTTGATGTATCAAATAATTCTAACAAGATTTTTGCCTTTACTAACTTATAAACAGCTGGCATACCTGTATTTCTTCTCGTTCCTTTTTATCTGGAAAAGTTCTTGCAGCTGTAGTATACTTTTCAAAAACTTTACGCTCCTTCTGTAGCTTCCTCATTTCCTCTTTTTTAAATTCTTCTATTCGAGCCAATTCTTTTGCTTTCTGTTGTTCAAAGTCTGCAGTTTCTCTCCTACAATGGCCAAGCCATGTTATCATCTTAAGGGGACCATGTCAAATATATTAACCCACATGTGCACCAAAATAAAATCCAGTGCTAGTCTGGGAGCTACTGGTCCTAGTGAATCCACAAGCCTGAAACTCTGGCCAATCACTCACCCAGTCATTCATCCAACAAGCAAAAACTGGGTGTCCACTATACAGCACACACACTACTAAGCAGTGTGAAACCACAGGGAAAAGAACAAAAATCCTTAATCCCATGAAGCTTCTTACATTCTAATGGAGGAGACAGACAATAAACAAGAAAGAATATAGAATAGTAAAGCATGGAAAATAAAGAAAGGAGGTCAGGAAATGTAAGGGTGGGAGGCTGAAAATCTGGATGAGATCATCTTGCTGTGACAAGCCAGAAGTAAAGCCAGCCGGAAGTGAAAAAAAGCCATGAGACTGTCTGGACAAACACTTCAGAGGGAGCACCAAGTGCCAAAGCCCCAGGGTAGGAATGGGCCTGGGGTGCTCAGAGAACAGAGAGGAGACTAGCGTGGCTAAAACAGACTGAGCAAGGGACAGACAATAGGAGATGTCAAAAAATAAAGAGGCTAGATTAATAAGGGTCTTAGAGACCTGGGGAAGACGCTGGCATCTACCACAGAAGGCTGATCCAACAGTTTTACCCAAGGTTAACACTGGATACCATGGAAGAACAGGGTAAAACAGGAAAGACCAGCAGAGGACAGTTAGGAAGCAAATATCATCACAACGGACAGAGGATGGGGACCTGATAAAGAATGGCACCTCTGGGCATGGTGTGAAGTGATCTGGTTATACAGACAGTGAAAGAACAACCGAAGACTGAAGGAGGACTCCAAGATTTTTGGCCTAGGCAAATGGAAGAACAGACTTGATGTTTGCTGAGATGAGGAAAACTGTGAAATAACTTTGCAAAGGAATACCAGGGGCTAATGTTTTATAATAACCAATCAAATATTTATCAGCTCCCTCAACAGAGAGACTTGACTAGGCAGGATAGGAAACATAGGCTGGAGATTTCATTTGAGACATGGCAGCAACAGATGTTATTTAAGGCCTGCAGACTGGATAAGCACTAGGGAGAATTTGGCTGGGGGTATAGCTCATCAGTACATCTTTAGCCCTGAGCTCAATTCCCAGCACAAAAACAAAACAATACAGAAAAGATATTTGAGGGGCTGGGGATTCAGCTCAGTGGTGCCGCGCCTGACTTATAAGTGCAAGGTCCTGAGTTCGATCCCCAGTACAAGGGAAAAAAAAAAAATGAACAAGTAAAGATACCTGAGGGGACTGTGGGGAGAGCTCAGTGGTAGAGCTTGCCTAGTATGTGTGAAGTACATCCTGGGTTCAATTCTCAGCCCCAAAAATAATTCACATTTGACAAAATATTCAGAACTTCTATAACACACAAAGGCAAAAACTGAGGGAAAAGCTGGGAATTTAGCTCAGTGGCACTGCATTTGCCTCGTAAGCGCAAGGTCCCGAGTTCAATCCCTGGTACAGAAAAAAAAAACTGAGGGAAAAATACTTACAGCACATTTGACAAAGATTTAACATCATCAATAAATCTACCTAAAAATCCCACAAGAAGTAGGCAAAATTCCACTAGAAAAATGAGCAAAGGTCACAAAGAAATTTATGGCATATGATCACTAAACATAAAAGTACACTCAGCTTTATCTAATTAAATAAATGCAAATTTAAAGAGGTGAAAAATGAAATTACTGTATTAGCAAGTTGGCAAGATTTTAAAGACTGAGAATGTTCCACTCCAGTGATGGCGAAAGCAGATGAGAGGGACCCTCAGCTACATACTGGGGCAGCAGAAGTTCTTGAAATTCATCGCAAGGAAGGTATTTGTTTTTCTTCCCTACAAGTAGCCTGACCTATATGATGATATTCCCTGCAAGATAATTTATTAATAGTCAAGATTATAAAGTTAATTTCTATGAATAGCCTGGCTGAAAATTTACAGCAGCACTCATATAACACAGTCATTTTAAGAACTTAGAATACTCAGGTGCACTAATATGGTAAGGAGTCTAGGGCCAGGGATTTAGCTCAGAGGGGCCTTGCCTGCCTCGCAAGCGCAAGGTCCTAAGTTTGATTCCCGGAACCGAAACAAAGTCTATACGTTGTTAAATTAAACTGCAGATTAAGGACAAGATGTATAACGGAAGTCAGGGCCTGCAAGCTCAGGGTTTGGCTGGAATTGTGGCTGCCATTTACTAAGCAGGTAAACTTGGACAACTTTCTTACCTCCCCAGTGGCTCGGTTTCCTTCTCTGTAGAATGAGAAGGCTAATTTAATTCCTAAATTCAAAGGTTTGAGTGTGGCTGAGGATAGAGCTTGGCACAATGAAAGTCCTAAAAAAAAAATCATAGCACCATGGGTTTAGCTCAGTGGCACTTGGTACCAAGAAGAAAAAAAAATCATTTATTTTATGATTTAAATGTTCTTTACAAGAAAAATATAGCTGGGCGTGGTGGCGCACATCTGTGATCCCAGCACTTGGGAAGCTGAGGCAGGAAGATCACTGTGAGTTCAAGGCCAGGTAGGCTACACAGTGAGTTCAAGATTAGCCTGGACTACATAGCAAGAGCCTGTCTCAAAAAACTTAAAAAAAAAGAAAAGAAAAAATATACAATTCTAAAGTAATGAAGCAGAGCATTTAGAAGGTTATCTTGGATTTTAAAATAAATTTGCACTTTTTTACCTGTCATTACTGTTAATAATAAACATTGTTTTTCAAAATATATATTGATAATAACAATTATTCTTTAAAATTTGACTTTTAAACACACTCAGGATATAAATACAGTAACAGATTTTCCTAATTAATGGATGACCACAGGTCTACAATTCTTTATTTGGATTATCTGGCTCCAGATTGATAGGTCTCCCACCACCTCAGCAGCTATTATGTATAGCAGCTGCCCTCTTCCTATGCTGCCTTGCCCCCTCCCCTGTGTGACGTCATGCCAAGATGGCTGCTCCCATCAAAGAACAAACCCTTCTTCCCAGCATGCCCCTGTTCCCGCCTAGAGAGTAACCTAATCCTCGCTCACCTCCTACCACCTAGTGACATCACCGGCTCCTCCACTCCCTAGTCACTCACTCAACCCCACCTCAGCCCCTACAAGCCCCACCCCAGTCTCTATAAAAGACTCTCCCTGCCCTGGCCATATTGCTTTTGTCTCTCCTTTGTTCAGAGACAGCCCGGCAGATCTATTCTCCTAATAAAGGCTTGTTGTGGCCTGGTCTGGTCTTGGTCTTCAGCCCTTTTACCTGACACAGATGTATTTTCAAATTCATAATTTTTCACATCTTAGAAAAGAAATACAGCAGTGCTGTCAGGGAAGATGGTGAGACAGGAAGCTCCAGGAATCTGTCATTCTACCCAAACAACTACTGAGCTGGCAGGGTTGTCAGAATCAACACTTTGAAATTGCAGTCTGTTTAAAGAAAGGCTTGCAGCACTCCATGAGTGCTGGAGAAAGGCTGAGAAATGGAGGTGCATTTTGGCATTTACACAGGCACAACTATCATCCGTCAGTTCCCAGCCATATATCTGGCAGCCATCGGGACCATGGCTTCCATCCTGGGCACCATACCAGTGCCAAGGTGAGCACAGCACCTGGCTGTGTAGGTCCCGATCCGACACAGTCCCTGGCACAGAGGTTGAACATCACTCCAAACCTCCTTCCAGGGGATCCCTGGGGAGACAATTTAGGAACACAACTCTTGTTTTCTTCTTTTCTTATAGATCCAGGCATTTAAGGAAGTGTCTATCAAGTCTCTGCCTGGTATGGAGATAATAACAAAATACACTTAAGCAACCACACATGACAAGGAATACAATCTGCAAAAGCCACTGGAAAACCCACAAATGTACAACTGCAACTCTTGAAGAGTAATAAAAGCAATCAAGAGAATCTGATTCCCAGAGTTACCACATGGCAACATTCAAAAAGTTCAGTTTTCATAAAAGAATGACAAACCATCCAAATAAAACAGGAAAATATTGCCCATGTACAACAAAAAAGAGACAGAAACTGTCACAGCAGAAAAGGAAACCCGACATGGGACTCAAGACTTTAACTGTCTCAAATATGCTCAAAGAGCTAACAGAAACCACAAAGAATTAAAGGAAGCATGGAGAATGATACATAAACAAATTGCAGATTTCAATAAAGAGACAGAAATTGTAAAAAGGTACTAAACATAAATCTGGAGCTGAAAAGTTTAACAGCTGGAATAAGAATTTCACTAGAGGGATTTAACAGCATGGCCGCCTTGAAAGTAGCAAATGCACTCAGTCCAAGGAGCACAAGGACAAAAATGAATAGAAGTAACCAGAGCCTAAGGACTTCAGGTACCGAGAGGTTACACCCCCACACATCATCCCAGTCACAGAGAAGGGAGAAAGGGACAAAAGAATATGGGAAGAAACAAGGGCTAAAACTTATGGAAAATATGAATAATAGAGCCAAGTGGCTCAAATAAGATAAACCTGAAGAGATCCACAAGAAGACATAACTGCCAAAAGACAGTCTTGAAAGCACCATCAGAGAATCACCCTCTAACATACAAGGCACGCTCAATAACTTTAAGATTGTCTCATCAAAAGACACTCTGGCCAGAGGTAGTGAGATGATATATTTAAAATGCTGAAAAGCCGTAAACCAAGAATTCCATAGCTGACAAAATGATCCTTCAAAAACGAAGTTGGGCACTCGGCAGCAGAGCCCTTGCCTTATAGGCACAGCTCTGGGTTTATGTCCCAGCACTGCAAAGAAATGAAAAACTGTCCAAATAGCCAGGCGTGGTGGCACACACCTGTAATCCCAGCACTCAGGCTGAAGCAGAAAGACTGCCATAAGTTCAAGGCCAGCCTGAACTGCATAGTGAGACTCTGTCTCAAAAAATAAAAAAAGAAATGTCCAAATACACAACAGCTCCAGTTGAGTTTACTTCAAT